GGTCCCCGGTGTGCCAGACACAACACCGCCTCTAAGACGGAGAATGGAGTTATCACCGCATGAAATTCAAACCTCCGTCCCTGAACCACCACCCCCTCCCCCACCACACACAGGGCTCCATTTGGAATTAAAAAAACCGTGAGCCGTAAGGAGGACCCTGCCCGGGGTTGGGAAAGGTGAAAGAGGAAGGGTTTGGCTCCCTGACCACAAACAGACAGCCGGCTTGGGACAGCCAGCAGAAGCCACCGGCCCTTGGAAGCGGGAACCCCATTGTCTCCCGGCCGAGATTCCTGTGACCCAAAACATGTTTTAAAAAAAGGATTCGCAAACAGCTGGGTCCTGACAAAGGCTGGTTCTTCATAGAGTCCACGCCCAGCGCTTTGTTCTAAAATCCACCCACAAAACGCTCTTGGTTTCTAAGAAAAGTGATGTCCGCACCAGAAAGGCCTAGGGAGACCGAAAGACCGGAGGCCTGCCGCCACGGGCCCCCAAAAACACATCCTGGAGAAGGAAAACGGGCCCATCAGCGCCCAGGGTGCCCATCTCGAAGCCCAGGCTGACGGTACCTTGTCCACTCGAGGCCTCAGGTCCCAGGATCCTCTCCCGCCCGAGAGAGGCCTCCCCAGGTGGCGGCGCCCAGAGCCCAGCAGGCCGGCCACGCAGGGGCGAAGGACAAATGTCACAGGCGCCCCTCCCCACGCTCCCGCTCACACGCAGCCCCTCTCCGACTGCTCCTCCCGGGCCCTCCCCCGCCCTCCCTCCGCGCCAGTGTGATAGCAGCAGCTGAGTGCCCAAGTCATTTCTAAATTTAGCCGGTGAGCTCCGGGGCTGGCCAGGTGACGGCAGCCCGGGGTGGCCGCGGACCAGGCGCCGGAGAGCATGGACATATTTGGTGGCACGGAGCAGGGGAGGGGACAGCTCCCGACGCAAGCACATTCTCACCCGTCATCCCTGCCGGCTTCTGCCTCCCTCTGCCCCGTGCAGGTACCTGGGCGCCACAGGTCTCCGTTCCCGCTGGATTCTGGGAGGAAAGACCGTGAACGACAGCTGCTGCCTCTTAGCCAACCATCAGCGCTGCACACGTGCCTGATAGGCAGGCAGCAGTTATCACACCAAGCGGAGGGCTTTCGTGGACTTATTATTTCTTTATTATTATTATTATTATTATTTTAAATATATTTTTTGTTGATTTCTTACAGAGAGGAAGGGAGAAAGATAGAGTTAGAAACATCGATGAGAGAGAAACATGGATCAGCCGCCTCCTGCACACCCCCCACTGGAGATGCGCCCGCAACCAAGGTACATGCCCCTGACCGGAATCGAACCTGCGACCTTTCAGTCCGCAGGCCGACGCTCTAGTACTGAGCCAAGCCGGTTTGGGCACAAAACGGACTTATTTCTTGAAGGGTGTACTACCTGTTGCCAAGAATACCGCAAACATGTTACTTCGTGGATGGCTCTGCAAAGAGGCAGTCAGGAGGAAGCCCCCTCAGGGTCCGATCTTTATTCTCGTTCACGTAAATCCTCGAGGGTCCGCTGGCAACGCCGACCTCTTGCCACCACGTTTCGGTCGGACACGAGGGCACTGGCTAGTGGGACCCCACTTCCCCAGCCATCTGGAAACAGGGAGGCGGGGGGAAGGTCACCTTCAGAAGGGCTGTTCCCGGAAGCGGTGTTTTTAAACACTGCGGGTCTGCCGAGAGCAAGAGCTCGATCCATCAAGTGCAATGATTGAAGCTCCAGGCGATGGCAGGACGGATGGTGGGGACTTGGCCAAGAAGAGCAGGGAATGAAGGATGCACTGCAGGCGAGCTCGGCTCCCGGAGGAGAGCTGTAACGATGGGAAAGTGACCGCCCCGCTCACAGGGGCCCTTACCCAGGCTGGGGCTTTACGGCCAGATCTGCACCACCACGGGGGGAGGAGAAATGCCTCCCTGAAGTGCTTTACGGTGCAGCCAGTAGAGCACATGTGTCAAACACAAGGCCCGCGGGCCAAATCCGTCCCGCCAGGCCTTGCAATGTGGCCCGCACCGCGCTGTCATCACTGCACTCCGCTGCATTTCCATCACAATGACAGTTTATGACTGTTCAGTAAACCATTCGGCCCGCGATTTTGGCTGGATTTTAGATTTTGGCCCCTTCTCTGATTGAGTTCGACACCCCTACAGTAGAGCATCCGGAGGCCTTCGGAAGAGGCAGATGAACGCAGTAACTCACGGCGAGGTCGCTGTCGGGTGTTGCTGGAAAGTCCGTCGCCCTCCTCACTCAGACCGGAGGAGGGGCTGTTGCAGACACAGGCCGTGGCGGTGAGGAGGCGGGTGTCCCCCGTTTTGATTTTATCCTGTGGGAAACGGGAAGGGCTGCCGTGTCTTTCAATAACCAGCTGTGCAAATAAAAAGGGCCAGGCGCGATAAGGAAGGCCGTGGATGAAAACCAACGGAAGGAGTCAAATAAATGATGTGAAATGCTTTGGGGCCAAAACAGAACTCGTTTTATATACTGGTAGTTGAGCAATCCTTGTGTTACCCAGAAAAACCCAAATCTGTTTATTGTGATTCGTTAAAACCCGGAAAAACGGAATCTATGATAATAAAAGTATAATATGCTAATTAGACCAGACATCCTTCCAGACGACCTTCCGGACAATGTAAGGGCTGTGAGGGAAGCCTGGGTCCAGGGCGCCAGAGGGAAGCCGGTGCCAGCAGCCAGGGGGGAGGAAGGCCTTTTTTTGTATGAATTTCATGCCTCGGGCCCCTAATTTAACAATAAAACTAAAAAATCCAGTGTTTCGCTTACAAACTACATATAATACATACAACATGGAACAGAATCAGCTGAGAAGCAAACCCAGTGGCAAGTCCATGGTACTATGAACACACAATCAATAGAACTATTTCTGCATTTCCCTCTCCTTACATTTTACAGTGGGACATTTTAAACACGGAAATGAATTGGCCCGATGAGGATTCTGAATGAGAATTTTTTTAAAAGTCATTCGAGAAAAACCACACTTTAATTTTTTTTAAAATATATTTTATTGATTTTTCTTACAGAGAGGGAGATAGAGAGCTAGAAATGTCGATGAGAAACATCGACCACCTGCCTACCGGGGAAGTGCCCGCAATCAAGGTACATGCCCTTGACCGGAATCGAACCTGGGACCTTTCAGTCTGCAGACCGACGCTCTACCACTGAGCCAAACCAGTTTCGGCCACACTTTAATCTTTTTAATCTAGTTAAAATCCTATTGTCAATTGGTGAATGATATATTTTTTTAATGGCCATGGAAGGCCTTACAATGATTGTTTCAAGTATCTTACGGTATATTTCAAACGTAAATAAGGTAAGTCTTGGCTTTAAACAGGTCGCTCTTTGTTCTCCTTCTTCCTTCTTCTGGTTTATGTCTCCCAGGTTTGCTGCAGTCTTTCTGAGCAGGATGCTTCTATCCCTTGGTGCACCTGATCTGAAGGGGAGGCTTTCATTTCGTTAAACTGACTACTTAGAGGCACAAGGAATGAAACCTTAACAGTGAAATGACAGCTAATTTCTAGAAGTCTTGCTGAAAAACCACCCTTAAACATGACAGATAAGAAAAAAAAATCATGAACCTCATGACAGGAGGGGATAAATGCACCAAAGAGAAAGTTTTAGGTTAAAAACAAAACAAACAAACAAAAAAAAACTTGGGTTTATAAGTTTTAAATGTGCTCTGTATATAGCACTTAAATTATTATTTTTAGACTTTGCTTTATTGATCCCTTTGAATTATGAAATCAAGTCTCATCATACCATAACTATGTAAAAATATCAGTTCGATGATCTTCCTCGACAATGTTAAAATGCCCCAACCACCAATGTATGTCTAAAATAACAAAAAATACGTGTGCAGAATTTTATCTTGTTAAATGGTCCCAACATGGGAAGGGTCAAACATCTTAGGAATGACATAACACTTAAAATCATCTGGAATAGCCACGTATACCAACCAACTTCTCCGGCCTTCTAGGACCTTCAGTCGACACTTACCCCATCAAAGGGGCTGTGGGCACAAGTTCAGGCAGAAGACTGGCCTCCCCAGGAAGGACTGCCCACACCAGACCCCACACAACCGGAGACCACAGAGTACCATCCACGGAGTCCATCCATGCCAGGCCCTCCTCAGCCATGCCACTGTAAGTCAGGTGCGAGTTGGGGGAATAGGAGAAGTTACTTGGGATGAGTCTGAGGCCATAGGTTTCTTGGGCTACCTTCCCATCCATCTCTCTTAGGAGCAACGCCTGCATTTCTACAGGAGAGATGAACTGTACCCTCCATTCCAGGGCAAAAACTGTATTTTTCAAAGAAATGCGCATCAGAGAAGGTAATGTCCCAGGTGTGAAACGTGAGATGCTAAGCCCAGACTCGGAGGGGTCCCCCTGCCTTCTGCACACGAGGCCTCGAGGTTTCTGCCCACTCCATGCCGCGCCTGCGTGTTGGCGGTGGCGAGAGCAGTGACAGCTGCCCTTAGCCAGGCCTGGGAAGATACTCACTCTTTACGAACAACTGCATGTCTGTCTTGGTGTTTTTTTTTTTGCTTTTTTTCTTTTCTTTTTTCTTTGTTTTTTTTAGCAACTTAATTCCCCATCCCTTTTAAACTGGGGAGTGCATCTGCATAGCGTGCACGGGGAAACACCGGACATAGCAGGCAGTAGAACATGAGAGTTGATTTGAACTCCAGCTGAGAGATGCGATGGACAGTGGCCCTCCCGATTTCTTTTCCGAAGGAACTCCTGGGAAATGAAAGATGCTCCCAGCAATTAGCTTCCCAATCCCCCGAGCAGAATTTCATTTAGAAAGCACTTTCCTTCCCAATGAGCGCAGCTCACGACGGTGGGGCCGGAGATTTGGAACTGCTAAAACGGTCAGGGGACGGGATGCAGATAATGACGATGTCAAGTGTTGTATACTGTTATGAACTAAGAAATGGACACTAAAAGCGCATTGAGAACAGGACAAACAAGTGGACTTTTTAAAACTGCTGTTATTATTTTTAGTCGGATGACGCAGAGGGCTTTGCTGGCAAGACACGCTGGTCCTCACAGCCCAGCGTTGACCGAGGGGCGTGAGAAGGGCCTGGAACTTGCCAGAAGGAAATAAAACCACGGGGAAAAGATGCCGCTGGGATCGGGTGGACCGTCTGTACGCTCTAACGTCCGGTTCACAGGACGCTCCCACCCAGGGCACAGGGTCACTCGCGGATGACAACATGGGTAGGCATACACAAGGAACCCACGGGGACAGACATTCCTTCTTTTCTCCAACGCAATTCATTGAAATTACACCCAAAGGTTCAGCGGTTTCCTTCCTTCACGCCTCCACGGCTGGTATGTTCTCTGAGGTCCAGCGGGAGGAACCAGACTGCCCGCGTCACGCCACGGGGGGCTGTCGGAACCCAACGGACCCGCCCCCAGACGTCCCTGTGCACCCGGACACACGCGAACGTGTGGCTCGTCGACGCGAAGGTTCCTGAAGGTCATTGTTACCCTGAAGTTCAAGACCCCGCGCCCGCCTCGCCTGCGGAATCGCTGTCAACGCCTCCAGCGGCCGAGCGCGGGCAGTTCCCACGGGCTCCGTGTCCTCGGGGGCCGCCAAGCGCTCCCTCTTGGGGGGCAGACCTGCTCGTGGGGGTGCAGGTGCACGGTGAGGGCCCACGCACAGCCGTCCCAGGAAGCATCTTTAGCTTTCCACCCTAGGACGGCTCAGAACCCCGGGCCTGAGATGCACAGAAGAACCACCCAGCTGGCCTCCCACCGGCAGCAGCCGGGAGCCGCCACGTCGTAAAAAAAACCCGCAGCGACTGCTTCTGGGTAAACGATGGCAACCCCCGGGGGGTGACCTGTCAGCCACCCTGCAGACGGTCACACACAACCCGGGCAAGTCCCAGGATTTGTTTGATATCATCGGACGTGAAAACGGATGAGTCGTGATCAGTCTCCAGGTCTAGGACCTTGGGTACCAACGTGAGAGTGTGGCCCAGAAAACTGTCCTTTTCCTCAGTAGTTTCACACATGAGGCCGGCGGGCGGGCGGGGGGGCCCCCGCCCCCCAGGACTGGAGGGAGGCCGCCCGGGCCCCGAGAATGGGCACGACCCCGAGCAGGCGCGTCCCCCCCGTGCGGCCTGGGTCTTCCCTGCGGGGCGAGAACCGGGACGGCGAATCCATCCTCCGAGCCACCGCCACCGCCGCCTCCTCCGAAAGGCTCCGCGTCCGGGGCCGGGAACTCCCGTGGGGACGTCCCCCAGGCGCCGTCTTGCCCGGGACCCTCGTCCCGGCGGTCACAGGCGTCCCTCGCGCGGTCAGAGGCCGTTGCTGCTCCGGTGGCAGAGGGGCGGCTTGGAGAGCTCGAGGACGCCCCCTCGGGTCTTGTTGAGGAACTTGGGCGCCCGCCGCAGCAGCCGCTGGGCCTCGGTGAATGTCTCCGTCAGCTCCTTCTTCCACTGCACAAACTCGGGGTCACTCTGCAGGGAACGCGAATGTTCGAGATGTGACAGCTGTGCGCGCCCCCACCCCCTCCCGCCCCAATGAACGCACCCTCGGCTTTCCTGCCCCCGGCGGTGGTGGTGTGGCTGGTGGGTCCTGCACAGACCTCCCCCCGCCGCCTCCGTGCAGGGGGAGGAGCGCCCTACCAGCCCTGCCACGACCCCCACATCCACTGAGGACTCCCCCCTCCCATATCTACTGAGGACGCTAACAAAACAGCTCAGGTCTCAAATAGGCAGAGGAGCCGTTTTGACAGGCTTAACGCTCCTTCCCATGGGGTGATGAATCCAACACACGTTTGTATCGACGAAGAAGGTAGTACTCAAAGCTCACCTCACACTGCAAGACAAACTGCTTCCCGCCTTTTATCCTCAACAAAATGCACTTCTTGTCTTTAAACAGCGTTTCTTCCACAGACACAATCTGCTCCATGGTCAGTAAGTTTTGCTGGTCATAAAAAAAAAAACAAAAAAAAAAACGACCAATTACCTCACGTCGTTCGTGACTTCTGAAGTTAAATGACTCACGGGCACCGAAAACGACCCACTCGGGAAAAATAAACGAACAAAGACCTGGCATTTGCCGATGGTCTAGGAGTGGGGGAGATGGCTACAGAGGAACATGCACAACAGTGCAAACTATGCCATCTCAAAAGCAAACAAACAGATAAACCTGCAAAGAAAGGAATGTCTCTGAGGCCCAGGAGCAAAGCTTTCCCTCCACGCAGGACTGATGTCTGAGTGACTGTGAGTCATGTACTTTTTGCACCAGTGAAGCCGGGAGGGAACACGGGGGCGCCGAGGGCGGTTTACAGGAGCCGGGGTGTGAGGCCGAGTCTCCACACAGCAGCTCGGTAAACGCCTGGCGAGGCAAGCTTGTCGGCGGATGCTATTTCGATCACACCCAGATGATGCCATGAACACAGGCGACATCCGTAAAGGAGTGTCCCTCGCGCCAGGTCTACAGCAGGATTGCTTAGGGTGAATGCTATGGCGTCCCGAGGACCTTACCATTTTATGTTTTTTTGGATAAATACTCCGGGAGCCCTAAACGAGAACCACCACCATCATAAACGCGCACGTTTGCTTTTTCCTCATGGGTACCTAGGAATCCAAGCAGCTTCTCAAATGGGCCATTAAACATTGACTCTTTTCATTGCATACTAGAGGCCCGGTGCATAAGATTCGTAGGGTCCCAAGGCCTGGCCAGCGATCGGGGCCAATCGGGGCCTTCCTTCTCCGGCTGCTGGCCAGGGCCTTCCTTCATTCCGTGCTGCCCCCTGTTGGTCAGCACATGTCATAGTGAGCGAATGAACTCCCGGACTCCAGGTCGAATTCCCAAGGGGACACTTTGCATGTTAGCCTTTTATATACATATCTATCTATATCTATATCTATATCTATATCTATATCTATTTCTATATATAATTTAGAGGTCTGGTGCATGACATTCGTGCACTTGGGGGTCCCCTCAGCCTGGCCTTTGCTTGTTAGCAGTCCAGGAGCCCTCGGGGGACGTCTGACTGATGGCTTAGGGTAGGGGTGTCGAACTCAATCAGAGAAGGGGCCAAAATCTAAAATCCAGCCTAAATTGCGGGCCGAATGGTTTACTGAACAGTCATAAACTGTCATTGTGATGGAAACGCAGCGGAGTGCAGTGATGACAGCGCGGTACGGGCCACACTGCAATGCCTGGTGGGACGGATTTGGCCCGTGGGCCTTGTGTTTGACACATGTGGCTTAGGCCCCCCCCCCCCAGTTGGACATCCTTAGTGCTGCTGCAGAGGCGGGAGAAGCTCCAGGGCTTCTGGCTGAGCGGCTTCCTCTGTGGGAGCGCACTGACCACCAGGGGGCGGCTCCTGGGTTGAGCATCTGCCCCCTGGTGGTCAGTGAGCGTCATAGCAACCGTTCCTTCCACCATTCAGCCAATTTGCGTATTAGCCTTTTATTATACAGGATAACATAAAAAGGATTCCTGGTGTTAAACAAAGGAAGTTGTTTTAGTTTTTTTAATTTTCAAATATTCTGAAAAGCGGGACAATTTCCTGTCTGCTGTGCACTTCACAGAACAGCACACTCTGTTTCCTGATGTCACAAAGTCCTTCCTTGACTGGGAAGTCTAAAAGTCACAGTCTGAACATCAAAGCCGCACGCACGCACGCAAGTTAGAACAGGTGCACGGCGCTTCGGAGGCTGTTTTTACACACAACGTGTCCTCGCTATGCAGCAACCGCGGGCTACCCACTCAACGTGACGACAGCAATCGCTCGATAACGGGCGCCTGACTTACCCGGGACTCCCCCTCTCCTCTCCACTCGAGTCTGTTGGGAAAGAGGTAAAAATAGCGCCGCTGCCACTGAGTCAGGAACGGGTTCCCCAGCTTCAGCATGTACCCGTGCATGATGCAGTCCTTCCCCAGAGCGTAATCTGAGGAACAGGAAGTCACTGTAAGTTAAAGGGGGTCTGGAACAGAATGTCTGCATGCAGGCGCGCCTCGGGAAAAGAGAATTACATGCTTTCCGGGGGGGGGGGGGGAAACAACTTTCTATTCAATATACGACATTATAGAAATCGTTATTATCTTGCTTAACGTTTTGAAATGAAAGTGATTGGGGGGGAAACTGGCTAATAAAATGACGTAGGTTTCACGTGCAGACCTGTACGTCACCCGTACACTTCATTGTGTTGACCACCCGAAGTCAGATTCCCTTCCGTCACCGTGTATCTGACCCCCTTTACCCTCGCCCGCCTCCCCTCAGAGCCGTTCCACTCTGGTAACCACCACCCTCTGGTCTGTGTCTCTGCGCTTTTGCTGGTTTGTCTCGTTTGTCCATTTGTTGCAGAAATCATTATTTCAGTCTTTAAACCATGGGGACTGGGAATTGAAAAAAAAAATAGAGGTTTCTTTCACTCTTTTCCTACTGACATTAAATAGTTGCTTCTCAACTTCCTGATAAGTCCACAGTGGTCACTTAGTGCTCTGAGAGGGCAAAAGTATGTTCTCAAATGACTTTTTCATCTATAATGAAAGTGTAATATGCTAATTAGACTGGACATCCGACAGGTCCAGGCAGCCGGCCTGCACCTGTCAGGGCCTACTCTTGCATGAATTTCGTGCATCGGGCCTCTAGCTATAGATATAAAATGAGAACGGAAGAACAGAGAGTGAATGAATGCAAGCCCCAAGTTCCTTTGGCTCTTTGTGGGACTGGGCCTCTCCCTTACGTCTGCTTTTTGTTTTCTATGTAATAACCGAGTGGGGATGTCCAGGGCTAACTAAGCCCAAGTAACTCAAGGATCAAAACTGTTTATTCCTTGGCTTGCGGTTATAGTTATCTCTCAAATACACGGCTATGTAGAGAGACCAAGCTCATTCACTCTCACCTTGATGAGTCCTGATGACCTTTTATAGGGAAGTATTGTCTCTTAAAACAACAGAAACAGGTTCGTTTTAAGTGGCTTGCTTTGCCTTCGTGAAAAGCTTGGATGACTGGGCTAAAATCACTCATTCCCTCTCTGATTCGTTCACTCAACAAGATTAAGTGAGTCCGAAACCGGTTTGGCTCAGTGGATAGAGCGTCAGCCTGCGGACTGAAAGGTCCCGGGTTTGATTCCGGTCAAGGGCATGTACCTTGGTTGCGGGCACATCCCCAGTAGGGGGTGTGCAGGAGGCAGCTGGTCGATGTTTCTCTCTCATCGATGTTTCTAACTCTCTATCCCTCCCTTTTCCTCTCTGTAAAAAAATCAATAAAATGTATTTTTTTAAAAAACAAGGTTAAGTGAGCAGCCAGGTGCTGAGCATGCTCCAGGCACCGAGGACTCGGCGGTGAGCAGCAGACGTCAGGGGGACGGAACCGTCTTACCTTCCTCGTGGCCCAGCTGCTTATTCTTGGCCCTCTTCCGGGCCTCGGCCTTGTCCGTGTCCGCGTTCACCGTGTCGTAGATGGTCTCCACCACCTCCTGCTGCCAGCGCTCCGAGATGACCAGCGGGAAGTTCTTGTAGAGCTCCTGGTCGCAGTCCAGGAGCTGCGGAGGCGACAGAGCGACACGTCGATGGGCGCCCGTGCTCGCAGAGGCGAGCAGCGTGGGGACGTGGCCGCGCGATGGCACACGGTCCCTTAGGACAGGTTCTCCAGGGTGACACAGCCCTAAGGCCCACCCCGCCGCCGGCACCCACAAAGGACTGCCACCAGCGAGCACCTCCCCACCAACTCCCGGGTCCGGTGGCTTCGCCCCCAATTTTCTTAGCAACGTTCGCTGCAGTTCTGCTGCTGAAAGCCGGCACGTGTATGCAGGCGTGCATCTGGAGTATTTAAAAGGTTTTGACAACAAAACAAAATTTCCATTGCGGTGAGGATATTCGATTCTGCATGGAAAATAGACTCCTATTGCGTTTAGAAACATCGAAAAGGGAGAAGCCAGGCCCTGACCGGTGTGGCTCAGTGGATAGAGCGTCAGCCTGCGGACTCAAGGGTCCCAGGTTCGATTCCGGTCAAGGGCATGTACCTTGATTGTGGGCACATCCCCAGTAGGGGCTGTGCAGGAGGCGGCTGGTGGATGTGAAAATGGGTCTAAAAGCAGGCAGCTGAGAGGAGACAGGGAGCATCCAGGAGGGAAGGGCAGTCCTGGGGGAAGTGGGGATAGTGGGGGGCTGGGGAGCAGAGACTGCACCTCAAAGAGGGTGATTTTTCTCTCATGACTCACCGTCCGCAAGGACAGCCTGTCTATGGGAAACTAGTGATACGATCAAAAGTTTGAAAAATGCCAAAGATTACATTTAAAAAAACGGTGACCGCTTCCCTCTTGATGGACAAATGCGACAGGACGCATGCGGTCTGCGCCTTTCCTCCCGACACACAGAGAGAGACTAAGGCAGGAGAATCGCGCCAATGCTGGCGGGAACTCTGATTCTAATTCCCGTGCGACGGGCTCCGGGGCGCGGGAGGCAGGTCTGCTTTCGCACGGTTGCTTTTCCTGCTTCCCACACGTTGGCATTTTATCTCCATCACAGATCCACCCCGATCGGTGAGAATCTGACCGGTCTGCAGTTCACCAGACGGCGTAGAGCGATTCTCCCCAAAGGAGCCAGCCGAGTCTCTCCCTCATGTAAGCCCTGGGCTTCCACGGCCTGCCCGTGTGCAGCTGGCCCTTGGCAGGCGACACCCCGATGGGGCCGATACGGACAGGACCCCGGCGTCTGGTTTCTGATGAGAACCACACCCCACCCCCCCCAACCTTCCCTCTGACACCACGGGGGCCAGCGGCCTGCGAGCACCTTGATGCCTTTGGTGTCCTCCTCGTCGAAGGAGCCGATGTCGAAGGCGTCGGCCGCGTTCACCTCTCCGCGGGGCGGGATCATGGGCGGCGGGTACTGCGGGGCCCAGAGGAGGGAGGTCAGGAGCCAGGCGCCCCGACGGCCCCCGCCCCACCACCATCCCGGAGGCAGAATGCGGCGTCCGGGTCACGCAGAGCACGTGACAGGTTCCACGGAGGGGCTTCTGCCCTGAGTGGCCCCCAAAGGAAGGCCTCAGATCTCAGACAAATGGAAGGGGGGGGGGGGAGAAACACACCCATGTCCACGTACGTCTTAAAAAAATAATTATTATATGTAACGGAGGCTCACGACTGCACATCCTCCAAGCTCGACTTTAAGAAAGCACGTTTTTCGCCGAAACCTGTTTGGCTCAGCGGATAGAGCCTCGGCCTGAGGACTGAAGGGTCCCGGGTTCGATTCCGGTCAAGGGCATGGACCGTGGTGGCGGGCACATCCCCGGTAGGGGGTGTGCAGGAGGCAGCTGATGGATGATTCTCTCTCATCGATGTTTCTAACTCTCTATCCCTCTCCTTCCTCTCTGTAAAAAATCAATAAAATATATTAAAAAGAAAAAAAAAAAAAAAAAGGAAGCACGTTTTCTGAGGGGGTAGGGGGGCCACATTACAATTGCTGGCAGACAGAGCACCCCACACCACACAGTCCTGGGGCTGATATTAAGGTAACGGGAGCCTGAGCCCTAATTCTGCGCAGGCAGGGATAACAGACTGCTGTTCCTCCACAGTTTGAATTCATGCAAAAAGAGTCCAAAGCTGATCATCAACATTAAAAAAAATAATAATAAAAATTAAAAAAAAAAACCACCTTCAACGTAGAGTGTTTTTCTCTATCCGTGAGACTATGAAAATATCTTTTAAAAAGAAATGAGAATTATGCTGATATACAACCACACGGATTCTTACGTTATGTGGTACCGAGCTAGAAAGTGTGTGTATGTTTACGATGAATGTTTCCTGTAACATTTTTACCTCGAAAAATATAAAAATATAATCTCATGCATCGAGATAAAAAGCCAAGAGGATGAGCTACAGCTAAAAAGCCTCAACTCTGTGGGCCATTTGAATGAGCCACATGTCCGCTCCGTGTCGCCGCTGACGAACGTGTGTGGAAGATGTTCTGAAAACGTTTAAGCCCTGAGGAGCGAGGCAGCCACCCAGCCACCACTGCGTGGGAGAGCAAGGAGGACTCTGTGGACGGAAGCTGGGGGTGGGGATGGATGGGGGGCAGCCCTGGGGCCGGAGCCAGGAAGCAGAGGCGGGGAGCACCCGGGTCCCCAGGGCGGGGGTCCCCAGGCTGTACCTTCTGTAAGTGGACCTGCTGCCAGTCGATGCCCCTGAAGAAGCTGTGCTCCTTCACCTCCTGCGACCTGTAGCGGAGAGGCCGGGACAGTGGTGAGCGCGCAGACAGATCCAGGAAATAGTCTGCGAGAACGCCCTCCTGTGCGGGACACAGAGGAGCGGCTATTTCCTGTTCCTGGAGCAAGCAAGGAAAAAAGACTCTGCCAAAGCAACACGGGACACCCGGCGACGCTTAGCAACATCGCTCCCCACAGCCCGCTGGTGTGGCCCGGGGGGTGTGGCTCAGGGGCTGAGCGTTGACCTATGAACCAGGGGGTCAGGGCACAGGCCCGGGTTGTGCGCTCGACCCCCAATAGGGGGCATGCAGGAGGCAGCCATCAATGTTTCACTCTCATATCTTTCTCGCTTTCTCCCTCTCTCTCTCTCTCTCTCTCTCTCTAAAAACCACCCGTAAGTCTAAACCAGTTTGGCTCGTGGATAGAGCCTGGGCCTGCAGACTGCAGGGTCCCAGATTCGATTCCAGCCAAGGGCACGCACGACCCCAGTGGGTGGTGTGCAGGAGGCAGCTGATCGATGTTTCTCTCTCATTGAGGTTTCAAACTCTCTATCCCTCTCCCTTCCTCTCTGTAAAAAAATCAATAAACTATATTTAAAATAAAATAAAATAAAATAAAAACCACCAGCAAAAAGAAAAACTTTTTTAAAAAGCTGGTGACTCCTTCAGCTTGTTAATTACGGAACACACGAGACAACATACACACTTCCCATGTGATCCCGGCCCCTGCCCGGCCCCCGCTGGAACCGAAGGGCAAGACCCTCACGGCCACGGAAACGACACACGGAAAGGAAGCGGTTTCTTCCCCTTGGGGAGACCCCACAGGCGAGGCCCGCCTACCCGCGGCCGTGACAGCCCAGCCGGTAGCTGACTTCCCGCTGCAGCAAGCCCTCCAGCAGGGCCCTCAGCTCCGGGGAGAAGGTGTCGGGAAGCTCCACGTCCTGGGAGGGGGGGGGAGACACGAGAACACTATTTCAAAGGCACGTTCATGGAAAAGGTGCCCCCGCACCCGCCCAGGCTGAGAGACCGCCCCCTGGTGGTCAGTGCTCAAAACGACACGTTCATCACAGGTTCGTTTCCTCTACAGAAACACCGAACGGGTATCCATCACCCCCCAAAGCCAATCAGAGAAGAACCCGAAAGTCTCAGTCTCTGGCATTGTCCCTTCTTTATTTGGTTTCTTTGATTTCCCTCTTGATGTCCTCTGTCTTTTTCTTACCAATGGTTAGCAGATCTTGATTTCTGCCTTACCATCTACTTCCACTATTTTTTTTTTTAAATCTTTTGAGGTTCTTCTCGGGATTGTCTCTCCGCTCATTTACGTTAAGAAAGCAGTAACATCGCCGAAACCGGTTTGGCTCAGTGAGTAGAGCGTTGGACTGCGGACTGAAAGGTCCCGGGTTCGATTCTGGTCAAGGGCATGTACCTTGGTTGCGGGCATATCCCCAGTAGGGGGTATGCAAGAGGCAGCTGATGGATGACTCTCTCTCCTCGATGTTTCTAACTCTCTATCTCTCTCCCTTCTTCTCTGTACAAAATCAATAAAATATATTTAAAAAAAAAGAAAAAAAGAAAGAAAGCAGTAACATTGTACGTGGGTTTACAAAGGGAACACGAAGTGGAACAAACACAGAGTCGCCCGTCTCCTTACCGCGGTGAGGGTCATCCGGTCTATTTCGTGCTTATCTTTGGTTTTGTGCTGCCTGAAGGGGCTGTGGCTGCAGGCAGAAAGGACACTCCGTTACCATGGCGCATGAGCCAGAGCAGCACACGCCACTGACTACCATTCGCTAAGGCACTGTCACTGCTTATTCAAAACTACAGACGTACGAAAAGCCATCGACATCAGTCATTTTTCAAAGGAAAAGCTGGGGGTCAGACAGGGCGGCCCAGGAACAGCGAGGCTTATGTATGTTTATCTGCTCGGCCTGACCCTCTCGATCGGGCCATCCTACCGAATTCGTGAAGCCCTGCCTTCTGATGAGATTATTCCTCTTCGGAGCATTTATTATCTGAAGTGTTTTCATTCTCATTTTGTACAACAGAAGGCACCCTTACACCTTATTTTATTTTCTCATCACGCAAATGAAATACAAAGTCATGGCCATCTCTTAAATGCCCTGATTTGAAAAAAATGCATATTAACAAGGAGACTTAGCACCGCACAGATTGGAAGTGTTTTTGAGAATCAAGTAGGATATAACAGCAAACAGCACTGCTTTGTTACTCGGAAGGTAGTCTAACGTTAAAAACAACAACACTGGCTTCCTTTCTCTATGCAACATGCAGGGAGATGTGGGCACGTTCATGGTTCGAAAGGAAAGGAACAAAGTGTGTTACTTTTTTAAAAATATATTTTATTGATTTTTTTACAGAGAGGAAGGGAGGGATAGAGAGCTAGAAACACCGATGAGAGAGAAACATCAACCAGCTGCCTCCTGCACGGCAACCAGTGTACAAGCCCTTGACTGGAATCGAACCTGGGACCCTTCAGTCCGCAGACCGACGCACTATCCACTGAGACAAACTGGTTTCGGCCAAAGTGTATTATTAAATCCAACTACAACCTTGGTCTCTCTGCTCCGCCCGGCTCTTCCCGCCAAGTCCCTGGACGTGTGCAGGGGACTGTGAGGGTCTCGGGGTTCCTGCGGCCCCCACACCCTGGTGCAGCTCCTGGTGCAGCGCCAGAGAGGCCCTCCGCCCTTGACCCCGGGCTTGCCTGCGCCTGCTGCCGGGAGGGGGGCCGCCCCATGGTGCCCTCCCAGAGGCGCCCTGCGCTAAGTTTAAAAGCCTTCCACGGGGCCGGAGGGAGGCCAGAGCTGGCGAGTGCCGGGAACATGTCCGGCCGCGGTCCCCGCTCCCAGCCCCCGTTAAAAAGAGAGGCCGGCCATGTCTCACCAGGGGGAGGGGACGGGGTCTCAACTCCTCAGCTCTGGGCTGGGAGGTGCGGGTCTTTCAGGCCAGTAGCCTGGCGCACATCTGCTTCCGACGTGTTCCTGATTGTCCTTGGTGAACAAAACCGAAGGTTTTTTATTTTTATTTTGGAGGATCTTAAAGAAAAGCCCCAACAGCAGGGATCTCCATGTGGTGCTCCCAGATCCCAGGGGGATCACGGCTGCTCCCTGACGCTTCCCCTCCCGACCCCACCCCCGACGGCACAGCAATACCCTCCCCCCCCCCACCACCCCCCCCCCCCCCCCCCGCACCAGGGAGCGTGATGGGAACCAGATCGAGTCACAGACCGAGTGGGAGAGCTGGAGCCCCTCCCCATGAGAGAGGAAACCACTCGGAATGTCATATTATAGATGCTGGCTCCACCGCCAGACACACGCCCCGCCATCGCAGCGAAACAGCGAGCTCGAAGACACGGCAAGTGATCAACACCTCGTACACCGAAAATTAACTTTAAAACGCCAGAGAGGGTGTCGCGCGCGTTTTGAACCCGAGCCAATAGCTGCCGACATAGTCACAGACATGCCTTGCTTTCTCCACACCGAGCCACCTCGACAACCTCAGGCAGAGCTCAGCGCCCCCCCACCCATACCACCCCGCCTTTCTCCCGGGGGCTCCCTCCCCGCGTCTGTCACCTTCGGGGGCGGTAAGATCAGGCGACACCTGAAAGGCAGACTGGGGACCATGACGGAGATTCCACATGTGCGTTCAGCACTGGAGCTGCGTTGCAGTTGTTCATCATCCAGGACTTCCTGTCGGGTGCGTTCTGCATCGCTCGCCTCCTCCCGGCAAAGACCCTGGCAGGCGGCAGGCGCCCACCGGGCACGCCGACTCCGAGGGGTGGCGGGCTGCCTCGGGAGGGAGCCGCTCGCTCGCTCGCTCTGGTCAGCCTGGCAGAAGCTCCCTAATCAGGTCAGCTAGTCTGCTGAGGGGCATTAAGCCCGTCCAGGCCCCACAAACACAGTAATCCAATTCAGGACGGACAAGGCCTGCCTCTCCGGGCAATAATGTGATTTCGGTGCCCACGCAGACAGGGGGAGCGGAGAGCAGCCGCACCGGCCGAGTCCTGGGGGCTCAGGGCGGACGGCGGGGCCAGCCCCCTCTCGATGTGCTGACGGGAAGATGGTGGGCGGAGCTGCAGGAGGCTGCCCGCCGGGACCGTGAGAAAGGCAGCCGGTCCCAGCCTCGCATGCCCACGAGAGGAATGTCCGCAGGAGAGTCTGTACTGGGATTTTTTTCACGTCAAACACTTTCCGTCTCTTTGTGAATGAAGAAAAACAGCAAGAACCTACAACCAAGATTACTCTACCCAGCAAAGCTATCACTCAGACTTGAAGGCCAGATAAAGAGCTCCCCCCCCCCCCCCCAAAAAAAAGCTAAAGAAGTTCATCACCACCAAACCAGAATTATACGAAATGCTGAAAAGTATTCTTTAAGAAGAAGAAGATAAAGATAAGAACGATGAACAACAAACACATAACCAGCAACAAGTGACTCTTCAAAACCAAAGGAATTAAAAAACCCGATGAACAGTATTAACTGGTGAATATAATAGAACCTGGGACCCCTAAGTCCGCAGGCTCTATCCACTGAGCCAAACCGGTTAGAGCTTATTATTAATTTTGTTTTTCTTTCAAAGCAGTCTTGTTTCAGATTTAAGGCTGCCGTCACTCCTACAGGATATGGAATGAAACCACCACCCCCGCCAGCTTTCTCCTGTATTCTTACGGGCACAGAGCTCTCACTGTCAGCAGGCAGAGCGCGCCACGGTCCTCACTTAGATCGGCGCATGGCTTACGGGTCCCGGTGGGACCCAGGGTAGCATCAGGGCCGGAGGACGGCTGACAGCCTTGACCCTGACCCCAGCACAGGCCCCACCGACTCACTCACCCCCTGAGAAGCTTGAAGAGCATGCAGCCCAGCGAGAACCAGTCGGCGCTGCTGTCGTAGGCCGTCCCCTTCTGCAGCACCTCGGGGGCCATGTACCCGTGCGTGCCCCTGGGGGGGAGGGAGGAGGAAAGGGGGGCGCGTTAGCAGAACACGGGCACCTCACGCAATATACCCGATTAATGGCTCATCGATCGATCGGCAGCAGCTGTGAGTAAGGGCAGGGACGATGGAGCCTCTGCACGGACGTGACCCATCCGACAGCCAGCATGCTTTTCTGTCTTAACCGGTAAAGGAGCGAATCTCAACGGATCACCCTTCGGAATCCATGAGAAGACTAGTCCTCGGCCGAGGAGGCGACCTCTGAAGCCGGTCAGCCCCGCCTCCACCGGGACAGCTATGGGGAGCGGAGGGTCTCCTGCAGACCGACCGACCGACCGACCGACTGACCGACCGACCGACCGACCGACCGACTGACTGACCAAGAGCTCCTGCGAGGAGCCCGGTGGGACGGGCCGCTGCGCCGCAGGGCAGTGCACTTTGAAGAGGTGGGCACGCCCACTCCTTCGGACCCGCACCACCATGCTGAGGTGGGGCTGCTTCCTGGGAGAGGTGACGGTGCAGATCGCCCCTGGAGGTGGAGGCACGGGGTTTATTTTAAAAGTCACTTCCCTCTTACATAGAATCGCACAGAACAGTCAGACAGACCGGACTGCAGTGGTGGCCTCTGGATGTGCCAGATGGGTGCCCCTGGTTTTTCTGCCACAGAAAGTAGATCGTATGTCCAGGGTGCCCTGGGGGGGCCGGGTGCGGCAGCGGAGGCTGAGGGGTCAGGGAGGACTGACCCACGTTAAAAAGCTTGAACTGCAAGTAGATGTTTTGGGTTTTAATTTTTAAAAATTATTCCTGATTTCTCTTCAGAAAAAAACAACAAGGGTTATTTTTGAAAAGGAAGGAACAGATGGGCCAGGAGAGAAACTTAACCCTGGCCTTCCTGAAAGAGCTCTCCATCCCGCTGCCTCTGCCCTCGGCCCACGGACTATTTCCCTTCTCCGTATCACGGCCTTCAGAGGCCGATTACTGAGGGTCGACTTGTGAAACAGGAGGTCACGGTTCCACTCCCAGTCGGGGCGCAGGCCCGGGTTGCGGGCTTGATCCCCAGTGTGGGGCGTGCAGGAGGCGGCCCGTCTCTCTCATCCGTGTTTCTATTCTCTCTCTCTTCCTCTCTGAATTCAATAAAAATATATTTTAAAAAGATAAAATCACAGCTGGCAAGAAAAAAAAAAACGGGGAAGGAGTGAGTGTGGACGATAACGTGTGACCGGGGCGGGGTCCGAGGGAACCAGCAGGCCGCCTGGGGAAACGACAGGGCACAGAGGCAAGCGGCTACTCACACGCTGGCGTGCGGCTTCTTTTTGGAGAAATCACAGGCCAGGCCGAGGTCTGATATCCGGACGTGTCCGTACTCATCCAGGAGGATATTTGCGGGCTGAAGAGAGAGAGAGAAGGTGATCTCCAAGAGAGAGTTCCCCGGATGCCCGGAGGCTCTGAGGACGTCCATCTGAAACTACAGGCCCGGCCGAAGCCGGTGTGGCTCAGTGGATAGAGCATCGGTCTGTGGACTGAAAGGTCCCAGGTTCGATTCCGGGCAAGGGCATGTACCTTGGTTGCGGGCACATCCCCGGTAGGGGGTGTGCAAGAGGCAGCTGGTCGATGTTTCTCTCTCATCGACGTTTCTAGCTCTCTATCTCTCTCCCTTCCTCTCTGTAAAATATCAATAAAATATATTTAAAAAATAAATAAGTAAAAAATAAAACTGCAGGCACGGTCTACCTCGTTATCTCATCACGGTCCCTTCCTGAACACAAACTCCGGCTCTGGATGGTCACAGCCAGAAGGCACTGTGCTGAGAGCGACATTCTCTGTGTTAACGTCCCAGGAGGGTGGTCGTGATGGGAGTGAGGGATTCTAAAGAAAATGAGGCGCGGGGCAGAGCGCACAGCTCATCGGAATTAAAGAGCTCGTTCTTGCAGAGACCGGTTTGGCTCAGTGGATAGAGCGTCGGCCTGCAGACTGAAAGGTCCCAGGTTTGATTCCCGTCAAGGGCACTGGTTGCAGGCACATCCCCAGTGTGGGGGTGTGCAGGAGGCAGCTGATCGATGTTTCTCTTTCATTGATATTTCTAACTCTTTATCCCTCTCCCTTCCTCTCTGTAAAAAATCAATAAAATATATATTTTTTTAAAATAAAAAATAAAGAGCTTGCTCCAGCTGGGACACCGTGCCTCTGTGAATCCCAACGACTTCTGAGAAGAAGGCCATGAGGCACAGAACACTGAGGAATCTTGCAAGATGGCTGGCGCTGACCTAAGATAGCCAAGGACTCCATTAAGAGCCACGCGGGTCCCCATCAGTCATGTCTGTTGACCTGTGCCCGATCCACCAAATTGACCAAATGTAATTCTGACCGCAACCCCCCGATGACATGTAGCCAGGGGGATTAGATTTGGTCAGCATAATCACGGAAAACAAAGCTCCTCTCCCCAATATACATCCAATTACAGTCGTCCTAATCGCTCTGTGCTGGAGATCACCATTGTTTCGCTTGAAACAAAAATGATGGCATGCCATTATAACAGCGGAGCATGAATAAGCATGAGTGACGAAGAATGAAGTTGGAAGAGAAATTAAATAATACCGCGGCCTACTAAATAGCTTTAGAAAACAAAACCATGGCAGAGAGGCATTTAGAAGTCGGTTACGGATGCAAATGAAAATGCATGACAGCAGGGCCTCCTAGATCTTCGGCATGTATCTCATTCGTCTGCAAAACTCACCAGAGGAAAGAAAATGTCACATACCAGCCAGAGTCTCCTTATTTCTAATAGGATGAAAACAATATGTTTTTTCTTATGCTCTTGTAAAAATTAAAGAGAATAATTTATTCACGTTGAAGAAAGCTTTAAAATGGCATGGATCCATACAGGGTATGGATCTCACAACCCGGGCACATGCCTTGACTGGGAATCGATCTGATGACCTCTAGGTGCATGGGATGATGCTCAACCACTGAGCCACACTGGCCGGGCCCCAGTGAGTTTTTTTTTTTTTTTTTTTAAAGAGAAGCCCAAGCATAGCACGCTGGAGATTCTGTAGCTCAGGGAGGGATCTAGAACAAACAGTCTATCCACCCGTGGTTTTTAAGGTGTCCTCGGAACGTGAACCTCCCCGCCCGGTGACCGGTGACCGGTGACCGGCCGCGCGGCTCACCTTCAGGTCCCGGTACACCACAAAGCGGTGGTGCATGTGTTCCAGCCCCAGGATGATCTCGGTGGCGTAGAAGCGCATCTCCTTCTCGGAGAACACCCCGTGCTGGGACAGGTGGTAGTGCAGATCGCCCCCTGCAGGCGGAGGCACAGGGTTTACTTCCAAAGTCCCTGAGCTCCTGCAGAGTCAGCCTGCCTCCCTTTGGTGTCTGATGGTCACATGCATAGAACTCGGGCCGCTGCGCCTGGCTTCTTTTGTCCGTTGCTACGTCTGTGAGTTCGTTATTGTGTCTGGGACATTCCTTCGTGCCATTGGGCAGATCTGTTTCTTAAACCAAACACTCAAAAGGAAAATAAAGCATGCGGGGAATTTCAAAAAAGGCACTTGACTTGTGGAATCGCGTGCCCTTTTTTATTTCAGCTCATGACCCAAAAGGTTTTCCGTCCATCCCGTGTCTCTTTCTAGCATCAGAAACCATTTTTTCTGCCTAAACCTGGTTCGCGCCCATCCGAAAGGTCATCATTCATTCACAGTTTACAGGGCCAACTGATCTGGGCGATCTGGGCTAAAGGCACAGAAAATCGGGCGGACGTCCTTCCACGTTGGGTTTTAAATACATCTAACCTACATTCTCAGGAGTCACTTCATTCCTAAGAGTCGAGGGTCAGGAAACGAGCGAGTGAAAGGTCCAGGCCAGCAGCGTCCCAGAAAATCACGTTTCGCTGGGACTATTTTATGAAAATCTGGGAGTATTTTATGAAAATCTCTTCTAAGGAAATGCAACTTCCAGGGAAAGACGGGGAGGGGCAGAGGGAAACCCAGGCCGGCATTTTAAATGAATTTTAATGAGGTTGACAGGTGAATGGCTGCCTCCATCTTCAGGGGCAAACTACGGCTCAGAAAGACCCAGCCAGCCTGCCCGTCGGCCTGGCCACAGCCGCATCCTTCCGGGAGCCCGGCCACGCGGGCCTTGCTTACCGTTCATCAGGTCCAAGATGAAGCAGAGTTTGTCCGGAGTATGGAAGGCGTAGGTCATACAGACGATGAAAGGACAATCCTAGAACGAGGGGGTGGGGGGGGAACAAAACATGAAAATGTGTGAGAAAAGCAAAAGCTTCCCTGAGAAGCACAGGTGCTGCCAAACACAGGCTGCAGATTTTGTTTTGAATCCTCACCCGCAGAGTGAGGACCATTTTCTCATTGCTTTTTAGAGAGAGTGGTCGGGAGGCGGGGGGAGAGGAGGAGAGAGAGAGAGAGAGAAACATCGATGGTGGCAGAGATACATGGATGCATTGCTTCCTACGACCATGTTTAGCTGCGGGAGGCGCCTTGGCCGTGTGCAGGGACCCAGACGAATGAGTGTCACACGCAACACTGAGCGAGGGAAGCCGGACCCAAGAGGGAGCGTTTATAGGAAGGTCAGTCACGGGCAGAGCTAAATTATGGCGTTCCAGGAGTCTGGGTGGCAGTTAGCTGGGCGTGGGGGCGAGTGGCTGAGAGGGGCACGCAGAGGCCTCTGGGACACTGGTGACTCAGTATCCTGCGATCTGGGTGCCGGACACACACGTGGACTCCCCGGGGAGAGGTCATGGACACTGTGCCAGATGGACAGCCAGATCTGTGTAGATTCCTCATGTACAGGGAATGCTCCCCGCTCCACTGATTCAAATGAAAAAATAAAAAAAAAACGGCATAGACCAGTGGTCGGCAGACTCATGAGTCAACAGAGCCAAGTATCAACAGGAAATGGTTTTGGAGAGCCGAAGACCGACGTCTGCGGATGGGCCATGAAGTTTCGAGGGCGGAAAGAATAGCATCTGCCGAGCACTAAGGGACTGTGGAACGAAGGGGCTAACTGCCCTTCCCAGCGGGGGGCGTCCTTATCCTGCATCTCGCACACACCTTCCCTGGTTACTAGGCAAGAATGACACAAGATGCCGAAACCGGTTTGGCTCAGTGGATAGAACGTCGGCCTGGGGACTGAAAGGTCCCGGGTTCGATTCCGGTCAAGGGCATGTGCCTTGGTTGCGGGCACATATTTTATGGATTTTTTTTTACAGAGTGGAAGAGAGGGATAGAGAGTTAGAAACATCGATGAGAGAGAGTCATCGATCAGCTGCCTCTTGCACACCCCCTACTGGGGATATGCCCGCAACCAAGGTACATGCCCTTGACCGGAATCGAACCCGGGACCCTTCAGTCCCCAGGCCGATGCTCTATCCATTGAGCCAAACCGGTTTCGGCAAATATATATATATATATATATTTTTTTTAAAGAATTACACAAGAACACTGGCAACAGTACTTCCTGTTATCTCTGGGGGATGAGAGGTGGACTACTCCCTTTGAGATGGAAAGAAAGAAAGAAAAAGATGAGTGAGCGCAGTTCTGTCTCGTACCAGCACTAGAGCGTCATGCTGATTGAGAGTTCACCCTAAGGAGGCTACTTACACTGAAGATCACTCCAAACCTATGAACGGCGGCCTCTGATTAGCAAAGGCAATGGAGCAGTGCCAACAATTTTAGTGCACGTCTTCTGGTGAAGTTTTATATTTATTTGTAAAAAAAAAAAAAAAAAATCTAGACAGTTTGCTATTGGAATACAAAATATAAACAATTCTTTTAAATTAGTTCTAAGCGGCAACCCAATAAAAGCCCAATTTTTTATTTACTGCCTTAGGTGGGGGGGCGGGGGGGGGGGGGGAGACTGGCGAGGAACTACACAACTAATTAACTACATTCCCCCTCGGCCGAATAAAATGAATATGAAATCGCTACAGGAAAATTGCAGGAGAGGACGCGTTAAAAAAAACTAATGCTTTAATAAGCCCTGGAACTCCGCAGTGAGCGCGCGTCCATGTGTGGGATTTAAGACAAAGACTTTTCGCCCTGACCGTTTTTTTGGCTCAGTGGATGGAGTGTCGGCATGAGGACTCACGGGTCCTGGGTTCAGTTCCGGTCAAGGGCATGTACCTTGGTTGCAGGCACATCCCCAGTGGGGAGTGTGCAGGAGGCAGCTGATGGATGTTTCTCACTCTCTATCCCTCTCTCTTCTTCTCTGTAAAAAAAAAAAAAAAAAAAAAAATCAATAAAATATATTAAAAATATAAACATTTAAGACGAAGACTTTTCCAAGAGAAATGAGGAGCCGGAGGCACGCCTACGGATCCCGCTGCAGGGAGCGGTCTGCCCAGTCTCCGCCCCAGGCGGCTGCGGGCACGGCTGTGCACACAGGGACGCGGATGGGAAATGCTCGCCGTCCATGTGCCGGGCGGCAGCGGCACACAGCTCTGGGTGGCTATGGCGTCTCCACTTGTCGGAACGGAGCAGAGAGCCCTTCCGGAACCGCTCAGACTGATGCCGGAACCACAGCGACCACAATGCGGGAGAGGAACCCGCGAGGGCTCCTGCGAGGCCACAGCCTCCCGGGGAGGAAATTCACCTGCGTCTCTGCTTCCTTGCTGACAAGGTGTGAGGGGTTCCCTGATGAGTCAGTAAAATGTGGCGTGTCTCGTGGTGCGCAAGAGCTTCCTGGCTTGTGTCTTTAATGTTCTTTATGTTTTTATTGATTTGAGAGAGAGAGAGGAAGAGAGAGGGAGGGAGAGAGGGAAACACAGAATGAGGAAGGAGAGAGGGAGAGAAAACATGGACGGGTTGCTTTCCACACGGGTCTCAAAGCCGCAACCCGAGTCTGCGCCCTGACGGGGAAGCCAACCGGTGACCTTTCGGTCCGCCAAGACAGGGCCCGGCCCATGGAGCCAGCCTGGCCGGGACACGGTTTGGTGTTTAACGTGGGAAGTCACACGTGAGCTTCCTAGCGTGGGCCCGGCCCTCCCGTGCCCCTCACGTTCCTTTCCTCGGACGCTGGACGACAGACCTACAGGCGGATGCGCAGAGGCACGCCAGGCCGCCGGGGTGCTGAGGTTTTGGGGTGTGCCTTTACAAACACCTGCCAGACAAACAAGCACCACGGCTTTGATCCCGGCCAAGCAGTCACCCGAGACAGAAATCCGCACGGGACCCTGTTGCGCAAGTGGGGACGCGGGTCAAGGTCTGTTTGTCCGAGGGCCAGGCCTTGGCATTCAGGCAGAACGCCCACCAGGGGGACACGGAGTCCTGAGGATGGAAACGACCGAAGGCCACGGCAGGTAACACGTACCACGTGGCCGGAACCGGTGGATAGAGAGCATCGGCCTGTGGACTGAAAGGTCCCACGTTCGATTCCGGTCAAGGGCGTGTACCTTGGTTGCGGGCACATCCCCAGTGGGAGGTGTGCAAGAGGCAGCTGATGGGATGATTCTCTCTCATCGATGTTTCTAACTTTCTATCCCTCTCTCTTCCTCTCTGTAAAAAAATCAAATATATATATATATATTAAAAAATAAAAAATAACACGCGGCAAGTTCCAAGAAGATGAGGTTGCCTTCCGAGGAGACACCGACGGGGGTCGCCCCCACGGGGACAGCTCGGAGCCGGCAAACCGCCGTCGCTCGCTGTGTGTGTGAAGGATAGGAGCGACGAGCTCTCGCTCTCTCTCTCCCGGTTAGTCCTTCTCGGCGATGCGGCGGATTCCTAACCGCACCCGAGGGGTGTTGCTGTCGCCGGTAGGATGCTTCCTGCCTTCTCTCCAACCACGTTCCGCGGCGAAGCTCATCGTAAATGCACACCCTGGGGAGAAGGCGCGGGCGCTCACGGGGAAGGGCGCTGGGACTCTGCTCGTGTCAGAATGGCCCACGGTATGAACTGGGTGCCACCGTTCCCTGCTGTCCATTCCAACACACCCAAGAACCGGCCGGCCCCGTGATTCAACCAGACCATGCCTGCATTTTATTTTATTATATTATATATATATATATGTTATATATATAATAATTTTTTATTAAATATATAATTTTTGTTATATATATAATAATTTTTATTATATATATAATTTTTTATTAAAAATATATATTTATTTATTTTTTACAGAGAGGAAGAGAGGGATGGAGAGTTAGAAACGTCGATGAGAGAGAATCATGATCAGCTGCCTCTTGCACACCCACTACTGGGGATGTGCCTGCAACTAAGGTGCATGCCCTTGCCTGGAATTGAACCCGGGACCTTTCAGTCCGCAGGCCGACGCTCTGTCCACTGAGCCAAACCAGTTTCAGCACGCCTGCATTTTAAATACATTATCCTGACATAAGACAGACACACACAGGCACACACAGAGAGCAATGCTCAAAACTGAGGATCACCCTGGCCGGTGAGGATTCGTTGGTTAAATGGGGTCCCAAGCTCCGAAAGGAAGTTCGACAATCAGTCAGGGGGAAAAAAAAAAAAAAAAAAAGAGGAAGGAAGAAAAATGTGAACACTTACCCCTGTACTCACAAGCGACAACATAATCCTTTCATTTAAGGCTAACGTTTCTCCTTGTTTCATTTTGATCCTCTTCTTATCCAGGCATTTCATCGCATACCTAGAAACAGAGACGCTGCTTGAAAAATCAACATCAAAGACACCCCCAGACTGATTTCAGCAAGACACACCGCACGGGGGCAGATTCGGGCAGTGTTTGAAAACAGCAAACTGGCACCCAAGTGCCATGCAAAAAAAAAAAAGTCTTATTACACGTATTAAGAAAAAAAAATAAAAATAGCCCTAACCGATTTGGCTCAGTGGACAGAGCGTTGGCCTGCGGACTGAAGGGTCCCAGGTTCGATTCTGGTCAAGGGCATGTACCTTGGTTGCGGGCACATCCCCAGTAGGGGGTGTGCAGGAGGCAGCAGATCGATATTTCTCTCTCATCGATGTTTCTAGCTCTCTATCCCTCTCCCTTCCTCTCTGTAAAAAAATCAATATTAAAAAAACAAAAACAAAAACTCCCCTCTGCAGGAGTACCCCCCCAACATACTCCTCAGGTGGGGGCTGTGCGTAAGTACGTCCTTCCGAAGAGCCCGCGGGGAGGGAGGGGAGAAATCTGACAAGCATGGCCTGGGTCAAAGGATCAAGACTGAAGCCTCGGCTGGGCCTTTGTCTAAGAGAATGTCTATTTCTTTCTGAGGCAAACAACTTCGGGAGTGAGGTCCCGGGCTTCCCAAAACCATCCGCAGGCATTTTCTTTGGGTGCGAGCACAAAATAACTCTTAACGGTCCCGGGGGAAGGTGGAAACGCAAAAAAAACACACAAAAAAACAAAAACAAAAAACTTACATTTTCCCAGTGTCCGCCTTCCGGCAGCCATAGACTTCTCCGAAGCCGCCTCGCCCGATGATCCGATGTACGCTGAAATCATTCATGGTCAACTGTGAATTCAAAACACGACATGGGAACGTAACGGCCGCGTACAGGTGACGTGGTCGAGGTTTCTCCACGCGACACACACACACACACACACACACACACACACACACACACGCGTTACTAACGTGTTCGCTCTGCGGTGGGGGGACCTGCAGGTCCCACGACCGGCTCCTTGGACAGAGGGGAGCGGTGGGAGGAGGCAGGGCTTTCCAGAACCTCCGCCTGCTGCACCCCCAGAGGGCCCAGCACCGAGGCCCGGCACAGGGGCAGACGGGAAGGAGACGGAGGGGAGCCTGGTGAGGCCGCTGTGCCCCCCTCGCCCGTCTTAGGCTTCAGGACGCACGCCCGGAAGACAAGTGCCTGGGAACTTTCTAGTCCAAATACAAAGCAACGTGGGCTACTCGGAAGCCTGAAGTTTGGCAACCGTGTGGCAATCCCAGGAACCGAATAAGCCTGTGTCCGGGGCGTCCGCGTCTCCCTGGGAGTGAGCCGTGTGATCGGAAAACCCGGCAGAGGGCGGCCATGTGAGTTTTTATCGATCACGTCCGTGAAGAGAGAGGGGACTCGTGCTGGGCATGTGAGCCTGAAGCAAGACTGAGTGTGAGCGGAGGAAATAAAGAGGCTTTATTCATGAGCGCTTCTCTTTTTGCCCTTAAGACGGAGTTTTAACAGCATCTGACGGTGCCAAGGCGGCCAGAACACCCTACAGTCCTGGGAAGAGGCCCTCGGATCTCAACGAAGGCCTCCTGGGCAGACCGAGGGTCAGATTCTTAAAAGAGCCCCCTACCCACCCACCGAACCATCCTGTCCGCAGCCAGGTGGGGGCAGCTGGCCACGGCCTTCCTGTCTCGTCACGTCTGATGCTGATGGGACATGGGCACGGGGCATGAGCCCTCGGACACCAGGCCGGTGGAAGGAGCGTGAGCGTAAGGATAATCCACGGCAGGTTTAAGAGCTTTTAAAAAAAAAAATTTCATTTATTTCGTTTTGGCTAATCCTCGCCTGAGGTCATTTTTTCCCACTGATTTTTAGACAAAGTGGAAGGAGGGAGAGAGACGAGAAACACGGATGTGAGAGAGAGAGGACGACTGGTTGCCTCCCGCACATGCTTGGACCAGGGATGGAGCCTGCAAACGAGGCACCTGCCCTTGACCGGAACCGAGCCAGGGACCCTTCAGTCCTAAGGCTGACGCTCTGTCTACTGAGCCAAAATGACTAGGAAAGGGATTTTTTTTTTTTTTTTTTAATGTGTGTTATTGCCTCATGGTTCTAAATCCTGCCAGGAAATGTGATGCAAAGGAGAGGTTCAATAAATCAATAAATAAACAAACAAAAAATAAATAACTTCTTCCAACAGGACCATTCAAGTAACTCCCCCCATCCCCCCCAAAAAAAAAAAATCTAGTTGATAATTTTTCTCCCCCAACAGACAAGAAGGCATGTTCTCCCAGGGCAGCAAACAGGGGGGATGCCAGGGGAATGGACACAGGTCCGAAAGCAGCCAGTGTTTGAGAACTGCTCTCAGCATTCACAAAATTTAAAAAAAAAAAAAAAATTTTTTTTTAAAGGTAAAACTTTGGACTAAAAACGATGTGATTATTCTTATTACATGATTGATGATTGCACCAAATAATAAAGAGAAGAAAAGCAACTTTCCTGGGATGGCAAAGGACAAGGGCATCGGGGAACCACGTAACCTAGACTCCTGTGCTCACTAGTGTTCCTGAGAAAGGGCCCATCACTGCTTGAAAATGTCCTTTCGTAAAGAGATAAACACACAGGGGTATGAAAAGAGAGAATTAAGCTCGACCGGCATGGCTCGGTGGTTGAGCATCACCCTAGGAACCAGGAGGCCACGGTTCTTTTCCCGGTCAGGGCGCGGGCCTGGGTCGGGGACTCGGTCTCCGGTGTGGGGCGTGCAGGAGGCAGCCAATCAATGATCCTCTCTCATCACTGACATTTCTATCTCTCTCTCCCCCTCTCCCTTCCTCTCTGAAAGCAATAAAAATATATTTTTTTTAAAAAGAGAATGATCCAAGACCGGTTTGGCTCAGTGGATAGAGCGTCGGCCTGCAGATTGCAAGGTCCCAGGTTCGATTCTGGTCAAGGGCATGTACCTTGGTTGCGGGCACATGCCCAGTAGAGGGTGTGCAAGAGGCAGCTGATGGATGATTCTCTCTCATCGATGTTTCTAACTCTCCATCTCTCCCTTCCTCTCTGTAAAAAAAATCAATAAAGTATATATTAAAAAAATAAATAAATAAAAAAAGACAGTCTGAAAAAAGAGAATGAAAATTCAGCTTGTTTGCAGCTGGGAGGGGAGGGGCTCTGTGGAGGGAGCTGTGAGCACATCTCGGGCGGGCGACACCCTGGGGAGCGGGCCCCAGAAGCAAGTATTTTCACAGGAAGGGAGGCCAGAGCGAGTTCTTCATTTTAAAAAGGAGATAAAAAAAAAAAAAGACATGGATACTCACGTGGATATTTAGCTCTACGTTTTTCCACTGACAAAACCGCGTGAACTTGTCGCTGGAAGAGAAGACAAAGAAGGACGGGAAGGTAAAGGTCACAGAACGACGCTGGCAGGTGAACGAGGGGCGCGCGAGGGACCGGCTTTCCTTCTGCCACGGCGCGCGTTCGTGTTCCGGCACATCTCTGCGCAGCCCGTCCGCCTCCGGGCCTGATCTCGTGGCTCCCGTGGAAGGCGTGCGTCCTGATTTCCTTTAACCATCGTTACGGCTCTCAACCACCCTAACGCCTCGACCCTTGAATGCACTTCCTCGTGTGGTGGTGGCCCCCAACCATAACGTTATTTCCGTTGCTGCTTCATCACTGTGACGTTGCTGCTGTTATGAATTGGAATGTGAATATCTGTGTTTTCCGATGGTCTTTAGACCCGCAGGTTGAGAACCGCTGCTGTAGAGCCCGAGACCATCGGAAAACACAGAGGATAATTTTTATGGCTGGGGGTCACCACACACATGAGGAACTGTACTAAAAAGGGTCGAGAACCACTGCTCTATAAAGGCTCGTTGATTTGACCCAGCAACTCTGTGGGCAGGGAAATAGGCGGATGCCCACGTTGCAGCCGAGACCAAGGCCTGCCCGGGGGGGGCACACGGCGAGAGAACGGGTGGGACAGGATTTGAACCCAGACCAAGCGCTGCCTCTCGGGGACACAGAGGGCCCCTCAGACTAGACCCAGAAGGCGCCCTGGGCCATCGTGCAGGCGTGTGCTCTCACCATGCCCTCAACTGCCGGCTGAGGCTCTTCCGCCCACGAAGTAAGAAAAAAATATCTATTGTATTTAATAAGTGCATTATTCAGATTCCTTTTTTGTTACTGAGCAACAACATATCTAAGCAAAGAACGTTCTTGCTGACTGCTGGGATCCTCTGGCCACTGCTATGATTTCTTAGACACAGGCAGAGTACTAGGGTTCTTTGAGCGAATGAAGGAATGAAGGAATGAAGGAAAGGAAGAAACGGGTGGGGGAGACAGAAAAGGCACAATGGGAGCATCTCTCATAAAGTACAAGTTATAGGAATCATACCAGCATTATAACATGCTGTGTGGCATCCAAATACCCCATTTCTCTGGGGTTTTCATCCAATTCGCCTTTGAAAGACCTTTTTTAAAAGCATTTCTGAGGCTAATAATCAAATTGGGAAGCAAAAGCGCCATGTAATTACACAGCATCTCTTTACAATGAATCTAAAAGGACTTTTTAACGGGCGTTTCCTTGATCCTCCTGCCATCTCCGTGCGGTTGGTAAAACAGCACTGTATTTTGAGATTTCAAACCGCTTTTATTTAAGTACCGGGAGAGCAAAGGGCAAAACCACACTGGGCGTCCTCTGCGTTTACAAATCGATGGCTTGCTGCGAAGTTCACGTGGCAGGCCTGGCTCACTCACACTCTTTTCTCACACTGGGGGTCCGGGGCTGGCACGGGGGGGAGGAGGCGTGGGTCAGCACACTGCAGACTAGCAGAGGCCGGGGCGGGTGGACAGCCATGGGGAGAGAGGTGCCTGCGGGCCCAGGGAGGGCGAGGGTGGCAGAGTGGCTTTCACTCCGGCCCCTGACCTGGACTGGAGGTGCTGAGCGGCTGAAGCTCCCTGAACACGGCTCCCAGGCCTCATCCCCGGAGCCAGCCCCGCCAGGGGCTTGGCCTGTGTCCCTGCCGGGCCTCGGGAGAGGGCGGGAGGACGAGGAGAAGGCGGGAAGGTGAGCCCCGGCCCCCCTGAAGACTCCCCTTTATCATCGCCCTGCAGAGAACCGGCTTGGGCTCAGTTTGTGGGATGTCCGTGCTTTTCAGAACCAACTCGAAATGCTTGGTCTGAGATGCATTTTTTTTAATATACTTATTTGAGAATCTACTAATTAAAAAAAAAAAAGGCACCCAAAAAGGAATAGCAGCAAACGAACTGACTTTAAAAATCACGCATCTATACAAAGCAGTACAGGGTCCAGGAAATCCAGCGTTTCTAAAAGCTTGCCTACAATGCAGTCAGAGCGGCTGATTCTGTAGGATTTTGAAAACCACATGCGGGCTGAGCCTCTTCCCCGATGGAAACGATCACCCCCGTCTGGCTCCTGCACCCCAAGGATCCCAAGGCAGAGCAGCTGGGCTGAGCCCGCGGTGGGAAAGGGCAGACCTGAGCACACACGGCCCTGGGTTTGCTGCCGCTGCGGCTGCTGCCTTTTGGCCAAGCCCCCACTCCCGCTCCGAACAGTGTCATCATCCGTATGCATGTTCCTTTCCCCAAGCCTTGACTCCGCTCCAGGATAAAATTATCCCTGAACTCCGGCGGAACCACAACACAGGCTTGTTTCTTTTCTAAATCCCGGGAACATGTGGAGAGCGGCGTCTGTTCTTAAAGGGCGATCTGGGCCCAGCTGCAGGCGGCTGGCGGCGGGCCCCTCGTCACCATCATCACGGCGATTGTCTGCATGGCAGCCGGCGTGCACAGGGAGGCGGGTTAGAGAGCACACATACACACACACACACACACACACACACACACACACACACACACGCTCCCCGCACGGAAGGACCGGCCGCGCGGAGCTGAGCGCTTTCGAGACGCCGCCGAAGCGTGTCAGGACTGTGTGTGGCAGGCATGTGCTTCTGTAGCTCCAGGAACCCAAAGGGACATGCCTGAGGATACACGCGATCACAGGCATGACTTGCCGATGCCCGTCAGAGTCTATCGGAATCAGGCACGAGCTTGTCCCACTTTGGGGGACATGACTGCAAAGTCCAAACACACGAGTCCGACGAGGAGAGCCGTGTGCTTGCGTGAGGAAAGGGTCCCAGTGAGAAGCGAGGCTCCCCGGCCTCTTTAAATCTCAGACCCCTTCGAGGCGGAAGAGCTAAACGTCACAAGGGTGTGGGGAGTTCTTAGGAAGTACAGGTCTTCATTTTATGTTGTCCCCTCCTGGCAAACTGAAATTATGATGTGACGTATCAGGGAAATAGGTTAACACAAAGCCTGGCACATAGTACATGGCAATAAACACTTGGTGAATGGATAAATTAACACACACTATATTGGGTTAAGTGGGGTACACCCACACAGTACAAGGTTCTATATAAATATATCTATATCTATATGATGCATATATATTATTGTAATGTTATATGTCATATATCACAAAGATTTTTTATATGTGTTTATATGTGTACATACACACACACACACACATATGAAGAGCGAGTTTCATACCTTTCCATAAATTTTTGGAAAATGTTGCCTCGAAGACTGTCACAGATTTCTTCGATGTATGGCTGAAAGGAGAGAATTTCTGTTCGGACCCCACATGCGGGAGACAACCGATCGATGTGTCTCTCTGACATCCATGTTTCTTTCTCTTCCCCTCCCTCCCTCCCTCCCCCCCCCCCTCCCTCCCTCCCTCCCTCCCTCCCTCTCTGTCTAAAATCAGTGGGAAAAACATCCTCGGTGAGGATTAACAGCAACGCAAAGAAGACTGCATGTCCATGAGGCGACAAGCAATGTTCAACTCCAGACACCAGCAGCCTGACAGGCCAGGGCCTCCCTCCCCCAGCTACACGCTTGGGAAGAACATGCTTCCATGTCAAACTGTACACAGACTGCTCGCCCTCGACGCGAGCGCGCTCGCCTCACCTGGAAGAGCGCGGGCGTCACCTGCTTCTTAGACAGACGGTACTGCACGTGGTCCACGGCTTGCTTCGAGAATGGCTTTCAAAAACCAAAAACAGCATCGTTTGCAACCAGTAGAAACCATGACCAGCCTCTATGTTATATAACAGCACAACGCAAACGGAACACCACATTGGTTCAACGGTAACCCAGAAACACAGCTAAGGACATGATATCGGCGTGCGTTCGTTAAAAAAGATCCGGACAGATGTGTCCCTCTGGGCTCCCGGGATTCTCAGACACCGCGCTGGGAAAAAATGATGAGCGCGGGGGTGGCTGGCTGATATCTAATCCCACAAGAATTCAAGATCCCTGTGAGAAAGAGAAGCCGAGAGAATCTCCCTTTATCATCAGCTCATGAACTGAAAATATCCCTCGATGAGCTGATAATGGGGCCCTAAAAACACACAACGGCTATGAAATTGAATTTCCGAGAAAATGAATGCGTGCAAACAGCCTAAGAATCAAATGCCGGGATTGCCAAGGGAGCCAGGGCGGTGAGAGGCTCCGGGTCACAGGGAAGCCACTGCCGTAGCCACAGCACAGGGAACTGCTTCTAGAAGGGTAAACTGCCGAAACCAGTGTGGCTCAGTGGATAGAGCGTCAGCCTGCGGACTGAAGGGTCCCGGGTTCGATTCCGGTCAAGGGCATGTACCTTGGTTGCAGGCACATCCCCGGTGGGGGGGTGTGCAAGAGGCAGCTGATCGATGATTCTCTCTCATCGATGTTTCTAACTCTCTATCCCTCTCACTTCCTCTCTGCAAAAAATCAATAAAATATATTTAAAATGTGTGTGTGTGTGTGTGTGTGTGTGTGTGTATATATATAGAGAGAGAGAGAGATATATATATATATATATATATATATATATATAGAATAAACTTACTACACGACAAGGATTACAAGCTCTGCACCCTCCCCACCCCCAAACTTCAAACTACCTCTTCTCCAATAATGCACAGGAAGAAGAAACGTGGGTGAGTGGAAGGTAATCAACCAAGGACCTTCTATGCATGGCCCCTGGACACAGACAATGGGGCGATGAGGGTCTGGGGCAGGCGGAGGGGGGTCAATGGGGGACATATGTAACGCTTTCAACAATAAAGACTTAAATAAGAAAGAAAGAGAGGCTGTAGACCCAGCCAGTGTGGCTCAGTCGTTGAGCCTCAACCTATGAACCAGCAGGTCACAGTTCGATTCCCAGTCAGGGCACATGCCCGGGTTGTGGGCTTGATCCCCAGTAGGGGGCGTGCAGGAGTCAACAGATCAATGATTCTCTCTCATCACTGATGTTTCTCTCTCTCGCATGTTTCTCTCTCTCGCTCCCTCTCTCTTCCTCTTTGAAATCAATACAAATATATTAAAAACAACAACAATAACAACAGTCTTAATGCAGAGAGATTGCATGGTAAATTTTTATCACTAATTTTTCCACTCACTCCTGGTGGAATGATTTCCTAGGAACCTAGTTTAATTCTAATGACCGAATTAAACTGTTTATCCTGATGTGTAAGAAAAAGAATGTCAACCATTATCTAACAATTAATGAACACAATTAATATAATTACAATCCATCCTATAAATCCAAAGGAGCCACTTAAGGGTTATATTTACCAATATCTCTTAAGTCTTATTGCGAAAGTATAACTACATTAAAATAATAAGCTTAATTTCCTTGAGAAAGTCTAGAATCAAGGCTACCCTTTTCTTCCACTGCTCCGAATTCGCTACTGTACTTCATCAATTTTTGCAGTGAAAGCATTTGCTTTTTGGAAATATATAGATATAGATACAGAGATAGAGATACATAGATATAAATATCTCTATCTCTATCTCTGTATCTCTATCTCTATCTCTATCTCTATCTCTATCTCTATCTCTATCTCTATATCTCAAGAGTATATGGAGCCCTGGCCAGTGTGGCTCAGTTGGTTGAGCGTCATCCTGTGTGCCAAGAAGTCGCTGGTTCGATTCCCAGTCAGGGCATATGCACAGGTTGCACACAGGAGGCAGCCCATCGATGTTACCCTCCCATTTCAACGTTTCTCTCTCTCTCTCTCTCTCTCTCAGCAATGGACGCTATGTCGAGATTATCAAGACACAAGCCACGGCAGAAACCGGTTTGGCTCAGTGGTAGAGCGTCGGTCTGCGGACTGAAGGTCCCGGGTTCGATTCCGGTCAGGGGGGTATGTACCTTGGTTGCGGGCACATCCCCGGTTGGGGGTGTGCAAGAGGCAGCTGGTTGATGTTTCTCTCTCATCGACGTTTCTAGCTCTCTCTCTCCCTCTCTGTAAAAAATCAATAAAATATATTAAAAAAAAAAAAAAAAAAAAAAAGCCACAAGCCACAAAGCAGAAAGAACAGGTTCCCTCCTGGATGAATCGCACTTGGTTTGCGGGCGCCTCTGTCCCACGGCGGGGACAGAGCCAGAGGGGACACTCACGTGCGAACACGACAGCAGCTCCTTCATGATGTAGGTGTCGTAAATCTGTCTACTCCTGCTGAGGCGATCTTCCTCGTTCTCGAGCTTCTCGTATTCTTTTATCTGGATGGCAGAAAGTTATGGGTGAGCGGTGTGTCTCCCTGGAAACCGACTCTGTTAACAGCCACGACTAGTCTTGGCAGGACACGCGGGACCCGGCAAACGATGGGACCGGGCTATTCCACGGGGCACCACCGCTCCCTGAGGCTGTCGGAACGAAGCTGGGATACTCAAGAGTCACAAATGGGGATCGAGCCTACAAATGGGATGCTTCCAGTGATGAGGCTCATCGCTTAAATTTAGAAGCGCGGCATTGGCAAACAAATACTGCCATGGTTACAATTATCTTACGCCCGACCGGCCCCGGGCCACCCGTGCCTGCCAGCTCCCCTTTCCAAAAGCACGCGCAGGCTCCATCTGGCTGAAAGTCAGGCCTAAGAGCGATGAGGTCGCTCTTGCTCAATGACGGCATTGCAAAACCAAGGGGAGAAAAGGCACAGATCTTGTCCGGGTTCCTTAAGAGAGAATTTTTTTTTTAATCAACTAAGTATTTTGGAAAAGCGTGAGCCGTAGAGGGAAGCATGGGAACCTCTCCTGCAACTACTGAAGAATTAACAGGAAGATCGCCCCAGGGGGCGCACAGGGAGGGTCACCGGCCGGCCTGAGAGGGGCCCAAAGATAAAATGTGCTTTAGAAATACGTGCCTTTCACGGAAGCAGCCCCGGTCATTCTCACCTGATAACGGAAGGTCCTAGGTCACAGAAGTGGTTGTGTGTGTGTGTGTTTTTTTTTTAATTTACTCACAGAAACACTTTTTAATCCGAAAGACAGAGAGTGAAAACACAGATGGCACATGGGGCTGGTAGGAGGCGACGGTAACGACTAATTACAGGCCGTCCTCGGGTCACATCGGACTCGACCTTTGTTGTTTCATGGTTACATCGCCACCTCCCACTTATTTATTTTTAACAAAAGTTCCGTCATTTTGACCTATGTACACAAGTGCTGTATTTACCATAAGTAAAGTTCAGGAATTGGTATCTTTCTTTTAATTTTTTTTTTTTTTTACTGTTTCACTTTATTCCTGCTGTGTGTGTGCTCCGTGTGAGCGACATAGATGCTAATGTAGCTCTTACGGCAAAAGTTGCATTACGTCATGCCATAGGCACAGATCTCCGCATGACCCGTAACCCCAGGACCTACTGTACTGTGTGTGACTTTTTAAACGGGGGGGGGCGAGGGTGGTGGTGGTGTAGTGTTTCCCCCAGGCAGCCAGTTGCTCCGCTGACTTCACATTCACCAAATGCTCTTTATTCTGGAACAGGAAGAGGCGAGGCTAGCTCCTCCCACGGGGGGGGGGGGGGGGGGGTACAGATCAATGGAGAGAAGGGTGACCTGTTTCCTACACTGTCAGGGTTGGATAGGTCTGAAGTCAAAATCAGTCCATCCTGCAAGAATTTCTGATAAAGGAAGGGAGAGAGAGGGGCGTGTGAAAGGCTGGGGTCCCTCCGAGGCTGCTGGGAAGCGACTGGGGTCGTCTCCGTCGGCCTGAAGCACCATCGACGTTACACCGGAGGCTGTGCTCGCACACCTGTCACGGAGTCTGTCACGGAGTCTTCCTGGAACCGAGGGTAAGGTCTGCCACAAAGGCGAGTGGGCAGGCGGGCGGGGTGGGCCCAGGCCCCATCCCAGCGGGAAGGCTGGCTGTCTACGGAAGACGTAGTCCAGCAATCACCAAGGGGCCCGGGCTCACCCTCCCAGCTTCACCGGGCAGGGCCGGTCTCAAGGGTCCAACACCTGGCCAGAGGCGACCAGGGCCGCTGCGAGGCCCGGAGGCCAGACACCAGCGCCGGAAGCGGCGTCGGAACTGAACACAGGCTTCTGGGCTGGCGGGTGGGTTCCTTCCGTTGTTCCGTTTGGGGTGGGCGAAGGCCAGGACGCTGGGATGACACGGGCAGCCCCCTTGAGCCGCAGGCCGGTGTTTCTGCCTAAACATCTGAGCAGATCCGAAGAATAAGCCCGCACGGGATTCTTATCCTTGAAAGCAAGTGGGAGGACGCCTAAGTCTGCTTCCAGGGACACCCGGTCCCACGGATGCCGAGTCCACGGGAGCTTGGCAAGAGCGGGAATAACCCAGCTTCCGCCGAACAGCCCCGTGTCCCGGGCAGGTGACATCTGAACCACGAGAGCCTTGTGCTCCACAGCCTTCGACTGAACGACAGGAAAGGAAACCCTGAGGCGGCCAGGCCAGAGCCTAGAGCACCTGTGGCTGGAATTCGAGCTTCACATCCTCAGGGAGGCCACGGATTAAAGATCCTGCCGTCGGCTCGCAGTTAGCTCCAGACGGCACGTCCGCACTCAGCAGGACACGGAGGATGCAGCCTCGGGTTCTGGCGGCCGACGCCCGAGTTCAAGGTGCAAAGGGCCCCGGACAGCAGAACAGAAGCCTCGTCATCCGTGGTGAACAGGCACTGATCACGTGTCCCCTCCGCTTCGGGGGTAACCACGCTCACGGCCTAAACACCCGGCACCCCGAGAGCCAGCGCTCCTGGTCTGCGGCCGCCTCGGCCTCCGGCTGCTCCACGGCCAGCCCAGGGGGACGGCCCGGCACCTTGCGAACGGCCTCTACTTCGCCTAGTCCCGTGGTCGGCAAACTGCGGCTCGCGAGCCACATGCAGCTCTCGGGCCCCTGGAGTGTGGCTCTTCCGCAGAACACCACGGCCTGGGCGAGTCTGCTTTGAAGACGTGGCGTTAGAAGAAGTTGACGTCTAAAGAACGTGGCTCTCCAAAGACATGTCCATCGTCCTGCTGTTGCTATTGGGCTCTGCGGACGAATGAGTTTGCCGACCCCTGGCCCAGTCAGACAGAGCATGGTGCTGGGGCGACGCCCTTCACCCACAAGGTTCTCCTCGGGCGAGACCGCTCGGTCCCGCAGATTCAGGGACCGACTGCCTTCCCGGGGCTACGCGTGGATCTCTGGGGGCTCCCCTGTCCCCCTGAGCTCCCGATTCCAAGGATCTAACTTCCCATTTTGACGTGTCCACATCCTGCCCACCCCAGCCACACTGGCTCTTCCCTCCTCTTTGTCACAAAAGTGCGAAAACCATACGCCTAGGAGCTGACACCAAAAAGGAACAGTCATCACGGATGCTGCTTTCGCTCACACCCCCGTCCCCGCCCCCACCCCCGAAATCCAATTCATCAGCCAAGCACGCTGGCTTCGTACTCAAAACATATCACAAACCCAGGCCACACTTCCGGTAACAGCCCACTAACTGCTCACAGAGCTATCCTCCTGGCAGGGTGTGAGAGTGTGTGTGCGTGTGCGTGTGTGTGCGTGTGTGTGTGTGTGTGTGTGTGTGTGTGTGTGACACCTATACTACCCAACTACTGCCATTCCGACCGAATTGATATTTCTGGACTATTCACCTTCAATTTCCCATGGGCTGCCGAAACCGGTTTGGCTCAATGGATAGAGCCTCGGCCTGCAGACCGAGAGGTCCCGGGTTCGATTCCGGTCAGAGGCATGTACCTTGGTTGCGGGCACATCCCAAGCAGGGGGTGTGCAGGAGGCAGCTGATCGATGACTCTCTCTCATTGACGTTTCTCTCTATCCCTCTCCCTTCCTCTCTGTAAAAAAATCAATAAAATATATATATATATATATATATATATATATATATATCGATATTTTAAAACTTTTCCCATGGGCTCTCTTTCCCACCCCATTAGGGGCTCCACCTTAGCCGTGACTTCAGCCTAAAAGGGTCTCCCCACCCCACAACCCTGTTCCCACCTTCAGAAGACTCGCTTCTGCCCTGTCACTCAGGTCTCGGTTCGGATGCCACCGCCTCGGAGCCCGGCTCGGACCCGGCCCTCCCCCGCGGCCCCCGGCCCAGGCCGTGGGCTCGGAGCCTGTTCTGAGTCACCGGGTACCGGTTATGACTTCCTGATACGGCGCCCGAGGGTGGAATCTGCTGCGGGGTCACCGCTCACAGCGGTTATGACTTCCCGATGCATTTCCTGTTTATTGCTTGTTTACTGTCTGCTTCTCTCCAACAAAAATAGAAGCGGAACAGCAGCAAGCACTTTGCCTGCCTTGTTCAGCCCACCAAGGCCTCCGGGCACTGGTGTCTGAGAACCGCTGGGTGGGATGGGGGCAGAAATCTCTAGATAGTAACTTTACCTCCGACCTCCTGTTTCTTTTCTCTCTCTCTCTCTCTCTTTTTTTTTCTTCTATTTATTTTCTGTTTCCTATGATTTCTTTCTAGACCTAGGTATCCAATCCGTATTTTTCTAAGCTGCCTCCAAACCTAACGGGAACAAACAAGCGTATAAACCGGCACACCGAGCGGTGACTACACGTCGAGTGACGTTCCGGTGTCGCGTTCAAACACGACCACCTGAAGGGACAGGGACGGCCATCAGGCGCGTTCTCAGCTGTGGAAACCCGGGTGGAGCCCGGCCAGTGTGGCTCAGTGGTTGAGCGTCAACCCAGGAACCAGGAGGAGGTCACAGCTGGATTCCCGGTTAGGGCAGGTGCCGGGGTTGCAGCTCAATCCCCAGTGGAGGGCGGCAGGAGGCAGCCTGTCAATGATTCTCTCTCATCACTGATGTTTCTCTCTCTCTCCCTCCCTCCCCTTCCTCTCTCTGAAATGAATAAAAACTTAATTATTTTAAAGAGAGAGACTGAGCTGAGATTGGTCTGAGTTGCCATTTTTGGATTTTTAAAAAAATATACTTTATTGATTTTTTTTTTTTTTTTACAGAGAGGAAGGGAGAGGGATAGAGAGAGAAACATCCATCAGCTGCCTCCTGCACACCCCCCACTGGGGATGTGCCTGCAACCAAGGCACATGCCCTTGACCGGAATCGAACCTGGGACCCTTCAGTCCGCAGGCCGACGCTCTATCCACTGAGCCAAACCGATTTCGGCCGGGTTGCCATTTTTGCAGGACTCGGGCTGCCTCCTGCTGGCCCCAGCCCCTGAGGTCTGGCTCTCCCTGGAGTTCACAGACATTACCCCTGCCTCCCGGGGGCTTTCAGAAAGCGCCCTGCCTCCTGTCCCACGCGTGTCCCAAACCGGCCTCTGTCCTGAGCGTGAGACTCACCACCGGCTTGGGGTTCCTCCGGTCCCACTGGCTTCTCACTTTGGCCCCAGAAACCCCCTCTGGCCCCTTCTCCCCCAGAAGCAGCCTCCTGCCCGGGGCCGAGCCTGGGCTCCGTGATGCCCAGAACCCACGGCTGGCCCAGGGGCTGCGTGGCTACAGCTCTCTGGTGTCCACGGAGCCCTCCCCGTGGGCGTGCGTGCGTCTCTGGCCCGGCTGCTTTCAGACTCTGGCGGCGGAGGCCTTCAGTGTGTCTCCCGGGGGCTTCCAGCCCGTCGCCTCGGCTCGCCTCCACCCTCCTCCACCCAGTCTCCCACGGGCCACTCTGGCGATGTGGGACCAGACAACTCTGCCCGTTTCTCTCCCACCCGGTAGCGGCCCTGGGCATCAGCCTGTGCGCCCAGAATCCATCCGTGAGCTTCTGCGGAACACGAGACGGCTGGGAGTCCCGGGGCACCTCGGAATGAGGCTCCCCGCTCTGGGGTTTAGCCCCGCTCGGCCTCACTGCTCCTGGGGCAGCCCGGAGCCGTGGCCAATGGCTTCGCAGAGATGTCGGCCTCGCTGATGAGCCAAGTATCTTACCCTGTTCTACTAAGTCCGTTCAGTGGGTTTCTAAACGTCTGTCAGATACGTGCGTCGTCGTCGTCATGTTTCCCAAAGGGCAGTTTCAACGTGCTTTTGAAATAGAAGCGTGGGTAAAAAAACGGTTACTTCTTACCTCTTCATAAAACTTCACCTGAGGTACAGCTTCATTAATTTCATTCAAACAAAAATCTTTAAATAGCAAGAAACCTAAAGGGAAAGAATAAGACATTTCAGGGCGGGCAATCGGTGGAAATCCTATCCCCACTGGGTCTTCCCAGAGTCACGTGCTTATACTTTAACTTTGTCCTCCCTTCCCCTAAAGAGAGTGGAAACACAGACTCCGACAGGCTAGTTACACCCCAGAGGGAAATGCTCCAGGGAAAGCTAAGAGTACCCCGTACCTGCCTCCTGGCTTTGGGGTTCCGTCTGGACTGGCCACCCGCCTCCCACTCTTTGCAAACGCATGCTCAGCAGTGCCGGTGGTCCCCGCCACCCAGAGCCACTGGCCACTCCAGCCAGAGGGAGAATGAGCACAGAAAGGAGAGATGCCCGGAGCAGGGGAGTGTCGGTGAGGGTCCTCTGTTCTCAGAAACAGGACAGAAGTCCCTTAAAGGCCAGAAGGGCCCAGACCAGTTTGACTCAGTGGATAGAGTGTTGGGGGCCTGCAGACTGAAAGGTTCCAGGTTCGATTCCGGTCAAGGGCATGTTCCTTGGTTGCGGGCACATCCCCAGTTGGAGGTGTGCAAGAGGCAGCTGATTGATGTTTCTCTCTCATCGATGTTTCTAACTCTCTATCCCTCTCTGTAAGAAAAATCAATAAAACATATATATTTTTTAAAAAATTAGTAGGAAAATTGTGTTGCTTTTTATAAGATACCAATGAGAACTTCTGTACGGGTTAAATGTAAGTGGTATCTATGAGAGATTTGGAAATTAGAACTCCTAAAAGAAAAAATGTAGAACTTATGTGCACCCCAAGACGCCGTCAAGAAAATAGACTCGACATGAACGCGGATAAAATATTATAAAACTTACACCGGAGTCAGGCTTTGTATAGAATTTCTACAAACATTAAGACGCTCTTACAAAGAATGTTTACAAGGAAATCTCCCGGTGAAAGAACGGGCAGAAACACAGGAACACTTCACAGAGGAGGAGGTGTGAATGGCCAACAGGCACATGAGACGGGCTCACCATCGCCGGTCCTCACGCACACGGGGAGACCCCAAGCTGAGACCCCGCAGCTCCCCGACGTGAATGGCAGGATTAAAAAAACTGACGCCACCAGCCCAGCCGGCGTGGCCCAGTGGCTGAGGGGAGACCTATGAACCAGGAGGTCACGGTGCAATTCCCGGTCAGGGCACATGCCCGGGGCTGCTGGCTCGATTCCCAGTGTGGGGGCATGTAGGAGGCAGCCGATCAATGATTCTCTCTCATCGTTGATGCTTCTCGCTCTCCCTCCCCCTTCCTCTCTGAAATCGATAAAAATATATTTGGGGGGTGGGGGGGAAAGGCTGACAACACCCAATGTTGGCGGCCAGAACACTCATTGGCTGAGAAGCATGTGCAATGGTTTGGACTCCCTGTGCCTCTGAATCCACAGGCCAACGACGAAGTCGCTGAGTTGGTGGGGGTGTCTGATCCCAGCTATCCACACAGGCGTCTGAACATGGGTGTTTATAGCAGCCTTACACACAATGTGCAAAAACCAGAAACAACTCAGATGTTCTTCCATTTGCAGACTGCGTGTATCCTACAAGGGAACACTACTCCACAGGGAAAAGGGAAGAGATACGGACACCAAGCACCATGAGCGAGCCTCCCAGAGATGCATGGTGCCAAGTGAAAGCAAACAGACTCCAAAGCGCCATACGGAATGGCTCCCCTTGCGTGCCATTCCGGAAAAGAAGAAACCATGGCAACAGGAAACAGGTCGGAGGCTGAGGGTACTGGGATATAGGGGATGGTCCAGAAAATTCTGGAAGGTGATGAACTGCTCCATGTCTAAATTCTTGGGGGTGGTTATACAACATTATGCCTTTGTCAAAACTCATGGACCAGGACAACCTAAACGTGAGTACATTTTAATGTATTTAAATTAAACCATGAAAGGAGAAGCATGAGATTGGGTACAGACAGCGGAGCCACGTACAAGGCACACAAGATGTCCCCAGGTAGAGAGAGATCGAAAACAATGACTCTGACACATCCAGAACACACAGCTGTTCTTTACACGCGAAAATAAAGGCAATCTCAAATGACAAATAGAAAAGCTTGCTCATAAACATACCAATATTAAAACGGAAAACTTCCACAGGGTCTCAGCGTCCCTCCTTGCTGCGTTATTATCCAGATTCCCACCAGCCCAGCCGGCGTGGCTCAGTGGCTGAGCGGAGACCTATGAACCAGGAGGTCACGGTTCGATTCCCGGTCAGGGCACGTGCCCGGGGATGCCGGCTCGATTCCCAGTGTGGGGGCATGTAGGAGGCAGCCGATCAATGATTCTCTCTCATCGTTGATGTTTCTCGCTCTCCCTCCCCCTTCCTCTCTGAAATCAATAAAAATATATTTGGAAAAAAATATAAAATTAAAAAAAAGAGTAATATACCCTTTCATCTCTTCCAAGCCCCAATAGGAAAGAATGAATATAAATCAAAACAAACTTTTAGCAAGTTATATATTTATTTAGTTCACACAAACCTTAAATATATTTGTTTTCATTGAACGCTACTTAACAAACTGGACCCTTTGCTTCTTGGCTTAAAACTTGGCAGAAGGAGCCGAAACCCGTTTGGCTCAGTGGTAAAGCGTCGGTCTACGGACTGAAAGGTCCCAGGTTCGATTCCGGTCAAGGGCATGTACATTGGTTGCGGGCACATCCCCGGTAGGAGGTGTGCAAGAGGCAGCTGGTCGATGTTTCTCTCTCATCGACGTTTCTAGCTCTCTATCTCTCTCTGCTCCTCTCTGTAAGAAATCAATAAAATAAATTAAAAAAAGAAAAAAAAACCAAAAACCCTTAGCAGAAGGAGAAACTTCTAAAGGCAAAGTGATTTAGGAATGTTGTGAATAGTTCCAACCCCCCCATTAAAATTCAGCACGTGCATGCCCAATAAAATACTGTTGTGCTAATTCATGGGGCCGTTCACTTAGGTCCTGGAGACCCATGGGGCCCTGAATATTAAGAATCCGCTGGAGAAAAGGACAAATGAATGGATCACGAATGTGGCCAAAGAGAAATTCACGGAATGTTCCGAGCAATTGGCTCCTAATTCAAAGGGGAACAAAAGAGGAAAACTGGAAGGAAGATGTGAAAATACAGGGCGAGAACATTCTATCTTCACTCTTCTAACAGTTGGATGACTTCCAGCCTTTTACAAGTATTTCATTATGAAATGACAGGAAAGAGAAAAACTCCTGGCAGGGTCACCAGACGGAGGTCAGTATTTTCCTTGATCACGGTTCTAACTGTAAACAAACCAACTGACAATTAAAATAAAGGGAGATTTAAAATAACGTCAAGTGGCCGTGGCTGGTTTGGCTCAGTGGATAGAGTGTCATGTCAGCTTGCGAGCTGAAGGGCCCCCGGGTTCGATTTCGGGCAAGGGCACATGCCAAGGTTGTGGGCTCCATCCCCAGTAGGGGGCGCGCAGGAGGCAGCCGATTAATGACTCTCTCTCTCTCATCACTGATGTTTCTCTCTCTCTCTCCCCCTCTCCCTCCCTCTCTGAAATCAGTAAAAATCTATTTAAAAAATAATAATTTCAAGGGGAATAGAAACATTATTCCAATAAGCCCTGCTTCTTATTCTTATCCCATTTAAGACAGTGTGTCACTACACTGCCACCGTCTATACCTATTTCTTTTTCTTTTCTTTTTTAATCGATTTTTTACAGAGAGGAAGAGAGAGGGATAGTTAGAAACATCGATGACAGAGAATCACTGACCAGCTGCCTCTTGCACACCCCCTACTGGGGATGTGCCCGCAACCAAGGTACATGCCCTTGACCGGAATCGAAGCTGGGACCCTTCAGTCCGCAGGCCGACGTTCTATCCGCTGAGCCACACCGGTTTTGGCATATGCCTATTTCTCTGAATGGACAAAATGGCTCAAAGTTCGAAAAACATGGAAAGAAGTCCCCTTCCTGCCCTCCTCCTCTCCCCCGGCCCCCCCCCACCCCCCCCTCCCCAGCAGGGCACCACCACCAGCCCCATGGGAACCAGTTCTTGGTGCCCGGTACCTTTTCGGGGAAATGGTGTGTGTAATTCTGGGCACAGGGGCGTCAGGAAATCGGTGGGGCTCCCTGGCCCTCTTTCCCCCAGTGCGTGCAGAGGACGGTGAGTCCCCAGGAACACCACCCGCCCCACAGCCGGGGGAGAGCTCAGCAGGGGGAGCGGGGAGGCCCCACCCGAACCCACGGCGCCTGCCCCGACCCCGAGGGAGGGAGGGAGGAGCGTCTGTGTGTGTGCAGAGCCTCTGACGCTTTGGACCGCTCTGTCACGGGTGTTTGTGTCACCTCCTCGCACAACAGAGGGGCGGGGGGAGGGGGCTCAGATAACACCGCCCGCACCGGCCTTTCCTCCGTCACGCTGCGCCCGGTAGACTGCTCGTCACCGTGAAGCTGGGGGCTGGGAGGATTAGGCAAGCGTGGCATGTTGTGTGCAAAGAGGTAGAGGGTCCTAGAGGACAGGGGTTGGCAAACCCATTAGTCAACCGAGCGGCAAACTGCGCAGTTTGCCGACCACCGGCCTAGGTCTTCCTCCACTAGCCATGATGGCGTCCCATCGCGGGCAGAACAGAATTATCACCTCCGTACCCTGCTCCCCAATGGAAAAAAAAAAAAAAAAAGCCTCAAGGTCAAATCCAGCCACTCTGGTGATTATTCAACTGTAAATGGTCTAAGCCAGCGGCTGGCAAACTCATTAGTCCGCAGAGCCAAATATCAACAGTGCAACGGCTGAAATGTCTCGGGAGAGCCACATTTTTTTTTTTTAAACGTAAACTTCTTCTAACGCCACTTCTTCAACATAGACTCGCCCAGGCCGCGGTGCTTTGTGGAAGAGCCACCCTCAAGGGGCCAAAGAGCCGCAGGTGGCCGGCGCAGCCGCAGTTTGCCGACCGCGGGTCTAAACAATCCAATGGGGAGTTAGAGTGAGAGCCTGGCCGGTGCGGCCCAGTGGTTAGGTGTCGACCTATGACCAGGGAGGCCACGGTCCTGTTCCATCTGCAGGCTCCACCCCCCAGTAGGGGGTGTGCAGGAGGCAGCCGATCAATCATGCTCTCTCGTCACGGATGTTTCTCATCTCTCCCTCCCTCTGAAATCAGATGCACTGTGCAAACACTCACATCACAAACACGGGTGCGGTTTTATGGGCATCAGACAAAGTTAACAGCACCCCACCAGGATAAAGGACTTCTCATGCCGGTGCAGGGTCAGCTCATCGCGATGACCTGTGTGCGCACGTTTCCTAGGATACCCTGCGATGCTTCGAGAGAAATGACAGGGTGGGCTCGCAAGAGGTGTGTGTGTAGAAAGGTTTGCAGTGGCTCCATTTACAACTGCCCCACATTTGAACAACCCCACTCCCCCGGCCCCCAAGTCCACGAACAAGTGACCTGTGCGAAGTCTGTCCTGCGGCATACTATTCCATGTAAAGAAACAAAATCCCTACGTGAGCAATATTATATATATATATATATATATATATATATATATATGAAACCTCAAGCGCAGGCATTGTGCGGAGGCCAGGGAGCTGAACGTACAAGGCCGAGCACGTTCCTTTGAAAGGGAGGAGAGCAGCCTCCGCGCGGACTGTCAAAACTCAGCCTCTGCACTGAGAACCGACGCCCGTCTGTGCGCGCACATTGCGCCTCTACAGAACCGATCTTCAGAGCACAATAATCAATAAGCAAAAAGCAGGGTTAGCGGCCGGATTCTGTGCGGTGTCTCCGCGGGAGGGCACCTTCTGAAACGCGCACGCCGAAGAGCAGCGAGAGGAGGGCAGCGCCCGTGTCGGCGTCCCCAGTGAGCTAATCTGGGTCAAGTTTCTCCTCCTCCGTCATCCGCGCGGAGCCCACGAGGTGGTGGAAGAGCAGGAGCCACAGAACAACTCGTTTCGGCCTTCTCAAATAGCCCTAAATTACATGCTAAGGAAAGGGACTCCTACAGGGCAAACTCCGGCGACCAACAGGGATATCATTTTTTTCCAGTCGCAGGGAAAAGGTCAATAAAAAAAAAAAAAAAAAAAAAATAGGAGATTTCTCTAGCGAGGGAGGGCATCTATCTCACCGGGGAAGAACATTTGCTCCTTTAAGAAGCTGCCCTAGTTTCTCTCCTTGGGTTCCACCGCTTTCAATAGTCTCTTTCAGGGACCAGAACAGAGCTCCCTGCCCCACCTTCGCTGGGATTTCTCTCCTACCCCCGGCCATAGAATCTTCTCTGTTCGTTGGCAGGCGCGGAGAGCGGGCGGGGGGGGGGGGGGGGGGGGGGGGCGGAGCTCCGAGCCAGGCCCGCTAGGCACACCGAGTCGCCTCATTCAAGGATGCAGGAACAAAAAAGCACTGCCCTACATCCTGGGCTTCTTTATCTGAGCCTCTCCTGCAGGTCCCGGCCCTGACTGAGCAGGAGGGCCTGGTGTCCGCCGGCAATGCCCAGTCTCTCCCACCCCCTACAGAGCCGCAGCGCACCTCATTACAAATGCCACCTGCCAGTCCGGAGTTCGGGGACCTGGCGCCAGCTCCGCTGCTGCTGGCCCAGCATCCTTACCGGCCCAGGGTCCCAGGACAGGGGGCTGCCCTGTGCCTGCCTCTGCCAGAGCCTGCCACCCCAGGGCTCACACCTGCTGCGCCCCGTCCCGCTCTGAGTAAAAGCCAGAAGACGGCCCATCCCTAAGGTGACCAGGCAACCCGCTTTTGGCGGGACAGTCCCGATTTTCAACAATTTGTCCTGAGGTGTTTTTAAAAAGTCCCGATTCCCCCCCCCCCCCCCCCAAAAAAAAGCAGAGTTAAAAACAACAGACGACTCCATTTTCTCAGAGCTGGTTTAGTTTTTTTTATCCTCTTGGATGTCCCAGGTGTTCAGAGTGGCAAGCGGCCTCACTATGGGGCCGGTGAGGTCTCCCAGGCGGGGCAGCCTGCACCCCGAGGAAGCAAGTGGTACCCAGGCAGCCGGCTGAAGCCGCTCAGATAAGAAATCAGCCGAGAAGCCTGCCCCGCGCTCCCCTCCTCTCTGGCATCTTTCCGGTCTGAGCAGCATTCTTGTGCGCACAGTCTGGGCCCCTCATTTCTCTGGGGTGAAAATCCAATTAGCGGTGCTCAGTCAAGTGTTTATCTCCGCTTCTCTGAAAATGTACCCGGATCTCCAGCTCCTTCTCTCTCCTCTAAACGTCTCCACAGAGGCACCGATAACTGCAGGGAACCGCCTGGGGCCCCAAGGTTTTTCCTCTCCCTCCTGGCGGTCACTCTGGGCCGGAGAAGGTTGTAAGACGGGATCTCAGATAAGGACCCGGCTCAGAGAGACTGTCAGTCAGAGGCAGCCTTTGCTGGGGGCAGGCCTTTGGGGCACAGAAGCTCACGCGCCAAACAAAGACGGAAAGCAGAGGGAAAACAAAGACTGACGCAGCTCCCGGTTAATAGGTCTCCCTCTGGGGCCACACGCAGAGCCGCACGATCATTTAACCCCCGCCTTAATTAATGCACGTTAGGACATACTCTCTGGGTGAGATCGGGAAGAAGGGCAAAAGCGGCTCTCCAGTCTTTTATCCTGAGAGCTGGCAATCAAACACAAAACAATTAAGCCGCCATCCTACTGTATGCTGTTTTCTGTCGCCAGGTGTTAAATCACCAGAGAGCCGTGGCTTGTCAACAACCCCTGTTCTTTATCGCAGGAGTCCAGGGGGGGGCTCCTTAGGGTGCTGGCGAGCTGAGGCCTCGCCCCGGGGCTCCAGGGAAAAATCCCGTTCTGTGACTGTGAGGCTGTAAGACCCTGGCTGGTCTGGCTCAGTGGATAGAACGTCATCATCGGCCTGCGGACCGGGGGGGGGGGGGGGGGGGGGGGTCCCCCAGGTTCGATTCCGGTCAAAGGGCATGCACCTCGGTTGCAGGCTCAATCCCCTGGCCCAGGTCTCCTGAGAACCGCCATCCATTTTCAGGGCTGGGGGTAAGGGTTTCGGGATTGTGCGTGAAGACATGTGTATTTTTTTTTGAGAGATGCTATGAGGCGTTCGCTCATTGCTTTAAACTATCTCGGCAACCACAAAAAAGAGGGGAGGGAGAAAGCAGAGACGGCAAAATGCTGAGAAATACCGAATCCGGGCGACGCCTGTGCTGGCGGGACCGTTATCCCGGCCCACTGCTGTGTCTGATGAAAAACGTCCGCTGTCAGCCGTTTCATTTAAGAGCGTCCATTCATCGCGCATCTGCCGAGAACATGTCCTTGGGGCGAGGGCTTCGCGAACGTTTCTGGCTGAATCCTCACAACGGCCTCGAGAGGCGGCCGCTTCCCCGATAAGAGAACTAATGAAGCCGCCACCGGTTCGCGGTGCGGCCAGCGGGTCTGCCAGTCGCCCCGTTATCTCAGGCAAAGACTCCTACCTCTTCTCATCTCACAGAGCGCGTGTACAAAGTGCCTAGCGCCCACACTGGGGGGGGGGGGGGGGCGTGTCCCCCAAACCCTGTGCTAACCATCTCCGAGCTCACACATGGGGGGGGGGGGGGAGAGCAGGGATGATGCCGGTAGGGAAGGGGCGGTGAGAAAGGGGGTTGAGAGGCAAGGGGACAACAGAGGGTGAGAGCGAAGCAGGGGATCCACAGAGAAGGGGTAACACAGAAGTGGCAGGAACGCCAGCGCCAGCCAGAGGAGGAGAATGCGCAGAGCGAGGGGGTAGAGGCGGGGGCAGACAGGCGAGCCCGCGACACGTGAAATCTCCAGCTACGGCGAAGCGTGAGGACAGGTCTGTGTCCGGCCGGCCACCCTGTGCCCTCTCCCCACCCCCACCCGCCAGCTGCTGCTCTCCGGGAGCACCCAAGCGTCATGGCTTCTCCGGAGCAGCTCCAGGCCCCGGAATCGGAAGGCAGGGAGGAAAGGAAGGACCTGCTTGGCCAGTTTTCTAACCGCATTTAACGGAGAGAAAGCTCGCAGCCTCCGAAGGCCAGGGAGAGCATCGCACTTCCTCGCTGGCCTCGAAGGTCCACGTGAACGCAGTGGCTGCTCCGTCCTCATTTGTGCTGCGGTGGCCACAGAGCCCTCCCACAGCCACACGTCTGTCTGTCTGTCTGTCTGTCCGTCCGGGCGGGCCAGGCCAGCGTCAGCCAGGGCGGGGCTGGGGCCTCTGCTGGCCTGCAGGCCGCAGGCTCTGAATAGGGCCACGGGAGTGAGAGGACGCGGACGCAAATGAATGGCGTACAGAACCCAAACAGCCCACGACAGCCGCCAAGATCAGGGACGCCGGCCCCACCCTTTGGAAAGAGGCGGCAGCCCTTGGGAGCTGGTGATGCCTGGGGAGACACTGGCTGGCCGGGCACCTCAGAGGTGGTCCCCACAGAGGGGGCTCGCTTCTGGTTCCCAGTGCCCAGTTCTGGCCACCTCCTCAACGTCCTCAAGACCTCGAGTCAAAAACACCGGTGTGGCTCAGTGGGTAGAGCGTCGGCCTGCGGACTGAAGGGTCCCAGGTTCTCGATTCCGGTCAAGGGCATGTGTCTCGGTTGCGGGCACATCCCCAGTAGGGGGGTGCGTAGGAGGCAGTTGATGGATATTTCTCTCTCATCGATGTTTCTAACTCTCTATCCCTCTCTCTTCCTCTCTGTAAAAAAAAAATAAAATAAAAAATCAATAAAATATATTTTTTTAAAAAGACCTCGAGTCAAACTGCTCCGTTTCCCACGGGCTCATTCACAAGACGGGTTCCTAGGGATGTACGTGGTCCTTAAGTACCTGGTTACTGACACGACCTCCCCACCCACCCCCGGCTCAGAGGGTCAGGCACACGAGGCGTGGGGCCCCCCGCGCGCAGACATCGCCGCGGTGACGGCGACATCGCCGGTGACAGACGCCGGACGCCGAGGCGGGACTTACCGATTTTCTGGTTGAAAATCTTGTCGAAGGTTATCTCGTTCCTCTCCTCGAGATACTTCTGCATCACGCTCCGGATACTGGAAGAGAAGGGCGGCACGGGGTCAGCGATGGCGGCCTGCACCGCCCGCAGCCATCGCGCCATCGCTGCAGGGGGAGGCCCGCCGTCTGTGATCGGCCCAGGGCGCGGGCCAGACCGGAGCCCCCTGGCGCTGGCACCCGTGACGGCACCGATGGGGCTCGACGACGTAAAGCGGGGAGCACCCAGCTCCAGCCGTTACCTTCTCCTGCGACCCACGTGCAGAGACGCGCCTCCTAAAAAATAAGTTAAGGACTTGGGGAAAGTGTGTCCTTAACGCCGCCGCTTTGCAAAACAGGCGTGCACACACGTGACAGATTCTGCTCATCCACCTACGAGCTTCTTCTCCCCACTCTCCCCCCAAAAAAAAAATTTATATATTTTTTATTTCAGAGAGGAAGGGAGATGGAGAGAGAGGAACACCAATGATGAGAGAGAATCACTGATTGGCTGCCTCCTGCGCAGGGAATTGAACCGTGACCTCCTGGTTCATAGGTCAATGCTCAACCCCTGGGCCATGCCAGTTGGGTTCAATTGACTTCTATTTAAAACAAAATTTAAAAGTCGCCTGTATATATGATTAAATTTTTTTTAAATCATATTTCTGAACATCAACCAGAGAAACTTGAAGAAAACATAATTGGGAGAAAGATTTCACTGACAATGAACTAAGAAACGTCAAATGTCTTGAAATAATTACAAAACATGTTCAGGATCGTTACAGGGAAAATTACAAACTGCCCTGGGAGACATTCATGAAGATCTTAGCAAATAAAAAGATACACTGCTGTTATGAGCCAAAGGATTTAATATTGCAGAAATTCAAAGTCTATCATCCAGGTTGATCTATAAAATCGATACAGCCTCCCCTCCCATCAATATTCCTATGGGGTTTTCTCGGAGCACAGAAACGGGGGGTGGGGGGGGGGCCTCTTTGCAGAATGTCTACGAAACAGCACAGGCTCAGGAGCAGCCGAGACATCGCTGAGGAAGGCGAGTGACGACACAGGGGCTGCGGGTGAGGCTGAAAGAATGAGGACAGGGTAAACAGTGAACTGGACCCAGGTCACGTGGACGGGCCACACACACGGAACTCCGATATGTAACCGAAGCAGCAAGGCAGACAAATCAGGGAGGGAGGGGTTATTCCGGAAGCGAACCCCAAAAGTAAGTAGAAAGTGTAGAGACTGAGTCTCTATCATCCATTGATGGGCAGCAATTTGGCATTGCTTTTTTTAATTTTTAAAAATATATTTTATTGATTTTTTACAGAGAGGAAGGGAGAGGGATAGAGAGTCAGAAACATCAATAAGAGAGAAACATCGATCAGCTGCCTCCTGCACACGTCCAACTGGGGATGTGCCCGAAACCAAGGTACATGACCTTGACCGGAATCGAACCTGGGATCCTTCAGTCTGCAGGCCGACGCTATATCCACTGAGCCAAACAGGTTTGGGCATTTTTTTTTTTTTTTATGGACACGTGTTTTCATGTGTCACGGGTAGGCATCTGGAAGTGAAACTGCTGGCCACATGCTGAATCGCAGTTGACAGCATGAAGAGGTGCTGAGCTGGATTCCAGAGGGGCTGTGCGCTGTTCCTTCCCGCAACAACGGACGACAGCTGGCCCCGGTCAGAGTCTGCACGCTGGCTCCCCGTCCCTCACAGGACTTCCGCTGTCAGTCTTTCTGGCTTTAGCCGCTCTGTCGGGTGTGTGGTGGCACCTTATACTGACCTGTGTTTGCATTTGTGCGTCCCTCGTGAGCCACGATGCTGAGCGTGTTTGAACACGATGATTGGAACACGTGTTGCGAAATCTTTGGCCTCTCTTTTAATTGAGTTGTTTGTCTTATTACTTGGTTGTAAAACTTCTGCAGATAGCCTGGGAACAAGTCCTGTGACCGTTATGTGATGATAATATACTGACTGAAGGCCTAATGTTGTTTTTTAGTTTACTATCAACTTGATGGAGATATATCGACCCTCCCTCTCCTGACCTCCTGGGGCCCTGCTACATAAACACAAGGTAAATATAATAAATACGGTATCATCATTTTTTTTAAATGCGGCTGAAATATTAGCTACCAGATATCTGCTCTCTCCTGGCCAAAGAACAGGGCAAGCTAAGTTGTGCTGCCACCTTCCTAGCAGAGAAACTACCGTACATGTGACATAGCTAGACCTCTCCCATTATGAAAAGCCTCTCTATCCCAGCCCTGGCCGGTTTGGCTCAGTGGACAGAGCGTCGGCCTGCGGAGTGAAGGGTCCCGGGTTCGATTCCGGTCGAGGGCACGGACCTCGGCTGCAGGTTCCTCCCTGGCCTGGGCCCTGGTGGGGGCGGGCACGTGCAGGAGGCACCCAGCATCATCACCCGCAAGAGGCAGCGGGCAGGAGAGAGCCGTGAGGACCGGGCAGGAGGGGCGGTGAGCGCGCTGGGGTCAGAAGCGCCACACAATGCGAGTTGTTATCATCACGAACCCCCCCCCCCGCCCCCCAGAAGGCAGATTGTTTTAAAAGATAAGATGACTAAGCAGTCAGACCCAAGATGCAATTCCCTCAAAAGGAAATTGCTTTTCTTTCGTTTGTACTTACTAAATATTTTCCACCAGCTACTCATTAAACACTTGAAATAGAGCTGCGTTCGCCAGTGTCGCAATAAAAAGTTTACCGCTCGGTTCAAAACCACCGAACTCCGCCAGATTGGCTCTGAGGAGGTCGGCAGAGTCGCCTGGTACAGCTGACTCTCCACTCTGCTCAGGTTTCCCTGTTCATAGGATCTTTGGCAGAAAAGCCTTGCACATAATTTACATATCGCTAGGCAAGTCAGCGGGAGACCATTTGCATTCAGAAGATCACAACCCAATTAAGCTAACTGTGAATTCCTGTTCGGTTCTCCTACAACATTTTGACAATCCACATCGTGTTCTTAATGTCTTTTTCTTGGCAACGTATGGCCTGATATTAAAGTGACACGGAGCAGCACACTTGAACTTCACGGGCCAAAAAGCGCCGCCGGCATCGTGTTCGAAAGCCATCCATCCACCCCCAAGCAGATGCAGTTTGAAGAACGGACACATGGATGGGTTCAGTTGACCTCATCAAAGCTACTAAAACGTGGGGCTCTAAACTTGCCCTTCAAAGGGGTTACCATGGCCGTCTGAGAACCCATTCACTTGTTATCAGAATATTTTTTGAATCAGCGCCAGTACAGAAGCAGCTTCCTTTGACTGCTGTGTTGTTGTTGGTATGAAATCAGCCCTCAGGGAGGGAGCCTGCAGGCGAGGGGCGGGGAGGGGGGTTGGCAGGAGAGCCTGCAGCATCCCCCTGGCCTCCAAGAGCCATTTTACACGGAATTATCTCATTTAAAGGGATATCCAAGGCCTCTGTTTGCACATTAGAGGAAGCGTTTGCAAAGGGGCCTCCACCAGCCCATCAGCCACCTCCTGCCGCCATCCGGCTGGTACGGCAGCCACACTGGATTTTTTTTTCATCGCCCGGTACTCCTGCAAGTACCATCCCCACTAAGGCTTCTCTTTACACGAAAACCTTCTACAGTACACCTCTTCCGAGATCCCGGTCGGGCCCGCTAACACTGTGACGCGGTTCCCAGCTCTTGCACAGGTTAAGTCTCACTTCCATCATTTCCCACAATGCACTGCAAGCATATAGACTTTATATACGAATAGGTACATATAAGCATATGGCAAAACATATGATATATAATAAATACGTAGAAAAGCATCAGGAATGCAAAATGACCTCCCAATTCAAATCGGAACCATCCAGGGTGTTTACTTCAGCTCTCGTCACGTCCTCGTGTACCTCTTCACGGACAGTTAAGACCTTAATGCTTATCACCCATCACAGTGGTCGGCCAACTGCGGCTCTCGAGCCACATGCTGCTCGTTGGCCCCTCGGGTTTCTAGCAAAGGCCAGCTTAGGAGTGCCCTCATGAAGTCAATAACTAGGTACCTACCTATATGGTTTAAGGGTTTAAAGTGTGGCTCTCCAAAGAAATGTCCATCGTTGTACTGCTGACATTTGGCTCTGTGGACTAAGGAGTCTACCGACCCCTGACCCAGCGGTATCTATAGAGTCTATATGAAACAACTTGAAGTAATAACATTAAGACCTCTGAATGATGCCGAAACCGGTTTGGCTCAGCGGTAGAGCGTCGGTCTGCGGACTGACAGGTCCCAAGTTCGATTCCGGTCAAGGGCATGTACATTGGTTGTGGGCACATCCCCGGTAGGGGGTGTGCAAGAGGCAGCTGGTCCATGTTTCTCTCTCATCAACGTTTCTAGCTCTCTATCCCTCTCTCCCTTCCTCCTCTCTGTAAAATATCAATAAAATATATTTTTTTTAAAAAGACCTCTGAATGAGGTTCTATTTATCTTAGAAATCTAGAGGGCCATATGGCATTGCCTAGCAAAACTGAAAATGCCCATATCTGACTCACTTCTTTTCTATGGGGAGAGGGGGGGCGGGGGGAGGGGAGAAGCGGGGGACAGAGTGGGCAGTCTATTCTGCAGAACACACAGCCCCGAAGACACACAGGTACGCTACTCCCTGCCACAGCACTTGAGATTCTGGGCACGGGCTGGGTAAATGGCCATGTTATGGCCCATCAGGGGGCAATGCAGACAACTGGGATTCATCTCGCCACGGGGTGCTGGGTGCAGAGGCAAACAGGCTCACGAGAGAGCTCCACCCCACTGTGACCTCCACCACCTTCCCGCGCACCAGTCACACACGTGACCTGTCTCATTCATTTCCTATCGCAGCGCAGAATGCGCCACTGACAACGTGATCAAGTTCAGCCTTAAAAAAAAAAAAAACACACCACAAAACCTTCATGTACTGAGAGTAGCTGACAAGTATGTTTGTTCGAGCCAACCATACCCATGTACCTAGTGACACGGGGGAGAGAGGGATTTTAATTTGTTTTTTAAGATAAGGGTGCCTGTGAAATGACAAAAAGATGTTTGGGGAAAGAAAATAT